CATTTATTTAGGCGCGCGCGCACACAGAACACAGTAAGCTGGAGACTTTTACTTGGGTAGATTTTTTTAAGGAGACATTTTAACTGTGGTTTTACCAAAGACCCACTCAGTGGCTACTTAAGTAGCCAGCTTGTTAGGAAGACTTTTTTATAAGACTTATCTATAAGAGAATATATTAATTTCTTGTATATACATGTGTGTAGATGGTGTGTGTGTGAGTGTGCGTGTGTGTGTTAGAGAGAGAGAAAGAGAGAGAGAGAGAGAGAGAGAGAGAGAGAGAGAGAGAGAGAGAGAGAGAGATGCTTGTGGGTGCATATGTATATAGGAGTACATTCATTGCTGCATATGTTTAGGACAGAAGTTGATGCTGGGAGTTTTCCTCTATTACTTCCCAAACTTAGAACATCTTTCACTGAAAATGAATCCTGTTATTTCAGGAAGACTCACTAGCCAATGTACCTCCATGACCTACCTGTCTCTAGAGTTCTAGCATATGAAGCTATCGATATATGTGACTGTACCCAGATTAACATGAATGCTGAGGATCTGAACTAACATCTTCATGATTGCAAAGCAAGTGCTTTACACATTGAGCAATCTGTCCAGTCACAAATTAATTTTTTAATGGAATAATTCACAGCAGAGGAATCAACTAACATTTGATTACTCCATGGTCAAATCAAAAGCAATATATTATAAAACTTCTAACATTTCAAGTTTATACTTATTTTATGCAATGACACTACTTGTTGAAACTTTCCCATTAATAACTTGTATCTTCCCTTTCCACTCTGCCCTGTATGTTTTCATTGTGCCCATCTGTTTTCCACAAAATCTTCTAAGCTCATATCTTTTATAATTGGTTTGAATTTTGATTGTGCTGCACATTAGAGCTGTAACTCTGAGAACATTACATAATCTCTTTAAGTGGTATTTGTTTCAACCAAAGGTGGAAGTGGGCATAGCTTCCATGGTTGTTATGATGTTGATTAAGAAAATATATAGCAAAAACCATTCATAGTGAAGTGATTTTTGACTTTGATGATTATATTGCTATTGTTACTGATGGGATATTCCATCCATTGAAATAATGGCTTTGCAATAGCATTATCTGGGGATGCTGTCTGGCCACTGGAGGTAGGTCACGTGGAAGGATGGTTTAAAGTAATTTTAATTTTCTTTACTGCTATGTTATTTGTCTCTTTTCCAAATTACTTTCTGAGGGCTAATGAGAGTCTACCAAGGGGGGTGCTATTTTAGCTGTTGTAAATTATGCATAGATTTTGAGTTGTAGTAATGTGTTATGATACTCAACACTTAAATGTTAGTACCACATGCCTTACACAAGTCCCAAGATGCTTGACTATAAACCCGTGTCACCCTCCTGACAACCTTGGGAGTGGTATTAGTTCTTTATTACCTGTGGTGCAAAAGAGGAGAAACTGAGGCATGAGCTCGGGTCAGGGGCGAACAGCACGTTTCAGTGGACAAAAATGCTTGTTACACAAACCAGGACCAGAGTTCAATTCCCAGATCCCACAGGGGAAGTAAAGTGGAAGCTGTCCTATGTCCTTTTCAGGCTTACTGTGACATGCACACATAGACACACATAGACACACACATACACACAGACACACACACACACACACACTTACAAACACACACCACAAATATTTCTTAAAATTAGGTCAATATATGTAAACAGTTTTAAAAGTCAAACTTTAATTCTTCCTACTCTCCAATCAGCTTTTAGGGAAGAATTTGATGAGTGAATGCAGGAAGTGTGGCATCTAACTTGGGTCTTAGATATCAGGAAATGTATCTCATCTTAGACAAATAATGCCCCTTCCTGAATATGCTCTAGTAGCATAGAACTTGGTAGAATTTTCTGTTGTTGCTTGCATATTAAATTCTTCTTCTCCTTCTCCTCCTCCTCCTCCTCATCCTCCTCCTTCTTCTTCTCCTCTTCTTCTTCTTTTTTTTTTGCTTTCTTTTTTTAAAACTCTGGTGTCTATTACTATGTATAAATTCTAGGTTAGGATGACTTCTTTCTTTTCGGAGCCCAGGATTCAGTGTAAGAAATTCAACTTATCTGAGAGGCCCAGTCATCTTAGCCATGGTTATGCATGAGTTAATTATAAGAAAGAGTCCCAAACCCTATCCGGAGACGTGACACAGCCCACGTTCTTCACCCATTTTTCAAGCATGCATTTCCTTTGACTTGGGTTTATACACTGTGTGTAGTCATTCTTTAATTTGGATGTATTTCTGTTCATTTAAACTGTTCTTTCGTGTCTTTACAAACTTGATGTCTCATGTGTCAGGAACACCCTGGAGTATTTCCAAAAGGCTAGATAACTTACCAAGTAAGTAGCCTTTGTTTGTTGAGTTTATAGACTTATGGGAGAAGACAGACAGTGAGCAAATAATCCCACAAGTAAAGTAACACGAACCTCCCCTGGTAGCGCTACAAAGACAGGCATGGAACATGATGCTCTCGGGAGAGATAAGAGAAGGTTCAGACAGACACTTGACAATCATAGTTTGTTTTCTCTTTTTTGTCTTGGACCATGCCCAAGCTGTCAGAGACTCAGAAAGAATAGAGGAAGGGTTAGACCGACCGGATGGGGAACAGAGTTTACAAAACTGCACAACACAAGCTAACCCCTGGGAATAGCAGCAGGGAAAACCTGACTTGGGCAGGCTAACACCTCTCAGGCTTTGAGTGCATCACTGAATCATAGAAGAATAAATGACACGTGTAATAGCGGCCCCTGGAGAAAAGCTGTTGCGTAGTCACTCTGCTCCACCCAGTCAAAGAGGAAGGAAAGCGGTTTACACTGTAGAATTAAAGTGTTATTATTTAAAGCTTCGTGTGTTGGTTTTCTAGTAATTCATTTAGAATGTTGTGTGAACAAGATTTCTACTACTACTACTACTACTACTACTACTACTACTACTACTATTATTATTATTATTATTATTATTATTATTTGGTTTTTCGAGACAGGATTTCTCTGTGGCTTTGGAGCCTGTCCTGAAACTAGCTCTGTAGACCAGGCTGGTCTCGAACTCACAGAGATCCGCCTGCCTCTGTCTCCCAAGTGCTGCGATTAAAGGCTTGCGCCACCATCGCCCAGCTCTACAAATATTTTTTTCTACAAATATTTTTAAAGCATGAATAGTAACTAAAGAAACAGTTGTAGATGAGGACTCAAGAGACCTTGTTTTCTCATTCCAGCTGGTAGCCAGGCTTTAGTTCAGAATACCAGAAAAGATCTTCAATATTCCAGACTCTCTTCCATGCATACATTCACTCAAGTAACACTGACTGTGAGCTCCCCTGGCACATTGAGAAAATAGTGGTGTGCAAAGGAAACCTTGCCTTTGGCCCGTGCAACTGACAGTTCAACGTCAGACAAAATATTCATTGACCATGGTCCTTCTTTTTGCTGTGTCCTTTGGCTGAATTGTTTGTCTCGTAGAATGCGTATGGCAAGTGCCCTAACTTTAGTAAGATTTCTGTTAAAATGCCACCTTTGGAGAACTGCACAAGGTCTCCTTTATCACATCTTTCCTTTGTTTTACTCTTCTTCCCATCTTTTGTCACCATTTGTCTCCGTTGTGTTTCCTTTGTCTCTGGTGAAATACCCTGACCAAAAGCTACTTGGGGAGAATGGGTTTATGCTGCTAACGGTTCCAGGCTACCGTCCACCATTGCAGGGATGTCATAGTAGCAAGGGCTTGGGACAACTGATCACATTGTGTCCATAGTGAAGGCGTGGAGAGGCATGGATTAGTTGACGCATGCTTGTCCTCAGCTCCTTCTATTCTTCCATATAGTTCAGTGCGTCCTGTCTAGGGAATGGAGCCACCCACATTGGATAGTCCATTTACCTCAATTTATGTAATAAGACAATATCTGAAGCAAGCCCACAGACTCTCTTGGTCTAGACAGGTCTGTGCTGGGAGTGTATTCCTGGGTGATTCTGGATTGTGTCAATCTGAAAATTAAAACTTTCACACCACTTTTCGATATTCTTTAGATCTAACCATGAAATGTTAATCTTTCATGTAAAGACTGTCAGTCTTGATTTTTGGTATTCTGTATAGAACAATTTTTAGCATGTCCTAGGCAATAAATATTTGCTGAATGTATGAGTAAATGAGATGATCACATAAGTGATAATCACCAACCATGATAAACAAAATGAGCAGTGATGAGTCTTTTGATTTTGAAAGGTAAACTACTAAAAGATAAGATAATTTTTTATGCTTTTGTTCTGCTTTGTATTTCAACATTTATTTCCCAAGAGTTTCTCTTTATATATTTCCATATATTATATATATTTATATATTCTCTCTCTATATATATAATATATTTATTTAATATTGAGTACTACCTGCATGGTTTCATACCCCTTGTCCCCAGAAGTGTCTCTCTGGGGTAGCTATTCCTAGCATACCTGACAAACTTGAGTGAGATCTCCCAAAGGCTCCTTAGTCTTCGTATACTCTTTGGAATCATCTGCCATGTGTGGTACCTACAGAGCTCCTAGCATGAGAAAGTTCCTCTACCTTTTGCTGGGTTTTCAGAATTTCAAACTTTGCTCTCTGAAATTTTGTATTTGTCTTTATTTTTTGGAATACTCTCGGCATTTCTTTTCCTCCCTGAGATGCTTTCACTTCCTCTTGATTTTCATGATTTTTTTATTTTTATTTTTATTTATTTATTTTTATTTTTTTATTTTTTTGGTTTTTCGAGACAGGGCTTCTCTGTGGTTTTGGAGCCTGTCCTGGAACTAACTCTTGTAGACCAGGCTGGTCTCGAACTCACAGAGATCCACCTGCCTCTGCCTCCCGAGTGCTGGGATTAAAGGCGTGCGCCACCACTGCCCGGTTTATGTTTACTGTTTGATTGCACCCAGTAAAAGGTATCCTTGTTTTATTATTCAAAATCTGATCCCAGCCCTTCTCTCTCTCTTGTTTCTAACCAACAGTGTGGGGATGTAGCAACTGCAGGATTGTCCTATCCAATCCTTCTGGAACCTTTACTTCTCCATGCTACCCTAACGACTACCCTAACACCCAGTCTTGCTCGTGGACCCTCCGAGCCCCTACCGGCTACATCATTCAGATAACGTTTAATGACTTCGACATTGAAGAAGCTCCCAATTGCATCTATGACTCACTATCCCTTGATAATGGAGAGAGCCAGACAAAATTTTGTGGAGCAACTGCCAAAGGCTTGTCATTTAACTCAACTGTGAATGAGATGCATGTGTCTTTTTCAAGTGACTTTAGCATCCAGAAGAAAGGTTTCAACGCCAGCTACATCAGAGGTATGTAAACCACAGATGGTGCCAAGCTTCTGTTTCCATTTAGCATGTGCTGGAGGACAGAACTATACTCTCATGTGAATGTGAATAGTCAGGGTCAAAACTTAAGAGTGAGAACCTATTAATAGACCCTGAGAATCCTCAGCATCAAACTAGAACTACTAGATCCAAATGCTGGTTTCAGAAGAGCTCAATTCTGGATAGTCTGTCTACAGAACACTTTTATTTTCATTTTTTGTTTTTTGTTTGTTTGCTTGTTTGTTGTTGTTGTTGTTGTTGTTTTGTGTTTTTTGGTTTCTTGAGACAGGGTTTCTCTATAGCTTTGGAGCCTGTCCTGGAACTAGCTCTTGAAGACCAAGTTGACCTTGAATGCATAGAGACCCTCCTGCCTCTGCCTCCTGAGTGCTAGGATTAAAGGCATTCACCACCACCACCCCCGGCTTCATTTTAATTTAAAGTCAGTTCTTACTTTATAGCCATGTCTGGCCTGGAACTTGCTAAAGACAGCAGGCTGGCTTCAAACTCACAGAGACATGCTAGCTTTTTCCTTTCAGGCATGGCACATGCCCAGCACAGCGTAAAATAAAAATAAAATTAAAAAAAGGGGGGGGGGTTCTAGTAATAATGAAAATCTGTAATTCTAACACCTTCCCACTAGAAATCTTGAACATACCCATTTAGAAATGATTTTAGTTTGGCCATAAAAGATACTTCCCTAAAAATAATTTTACTAGAGGACAAACAAAACTAGTGCATAAGGGAAAGAGGAGGGCACAGACATTCTGACAGGATGAGATTTGTCTGGAAATGTGTAAGAGGGTAACAGGCAACTATTAGTGCAAGTAGAACTAAGTTGTGTTCAGAAAGTATTGTAAAACATAGTGTATTGCAAATACCTTACTCAGGCTAGATATAGTAGAGAGTGCCTGGGACCTCCTCCAAAGCAATGTGCCTTACTCTCTCTGAGGAGTGGATAGGGTGTGGTGTGGAGGGGTTGGGAGGAGGGGAGGAAGTGGGAACTGGGATTGGTATTTAAAATGAAAAATGATTGTTTTCTTTTTTAAAAAACAAAAGTTTTAAAACTCCATAGTATTCAAACAAAATCATCTTGAAGCTAGGTCTTTCTAATTCAGGAATTTTGTTTTTTAATTATTAATGTTTTGAACAGAGTTAAAAAATACAAACAGGGCTGTCGCTCGTTTCATTGTGAAATGAAATCATAATTAAAGATGAACCGGGTGGGATTGCATATAGTTGTTTTTGATGTAGGAGCATTGTTGAAAGGTTGGTGATAAAAGACAGGCAGAGAGGGGGATGAGAAAGCCTCACAGATTAAGTAAAAAGTTAATTAGAAGGAAGTGGTATAGAACCGAGAGACACTAGACGTTTTGCATCTCGGCTCATATTCTGGAATTATGTTTTGACTTTATGTTTTTTGTTTTCCTAGTTGCTGTGTCCTTACGGAATCAAAAGGTCATTTTGCCCCAGACATTAGATGCGTACCAGGTATCAGTGGCAAAAAGTGTCTCCATTCCTGAGCTCAGTGCTTTCACGCTGTGCTTTGAAGCTTCCAAAGTTGGCAGCGAAGATGATGACTGGAGAGCTTTCTCCTACTCAGACGAGTTCTTCACACAGCTTCTGAGTTTCGAGAAGGTCAACAATGATTACTTCCTCTCCATTTCTGGCTCGAGATGCTTGCTGAACAGTGCATTGCCCATGAAGGAAAATGAAGACATCTTCACAGAAAACTTCGAGCAGCTCTGTCTTGTATGGAATAATACTTGGGGCTCCGTGAGTGTACATTTCAAGAAGAGCTATGAAACAGTTCCATGTGATTCCACCATGAGTGCAGTTATACCTGGGGACGGGGCATTGCTGCTGGGCTCTGTCAGAGATGAAATTGCCTCTCTAAAGGGCAGCATCTATAACTTTCGACTCTGGAATTTCACAATGGATTCTAAGGTCCTCACCAACCTCAGCTGTAGTGTGCCCGGGAATGTCGTGGACTGGCACAATGACTTTTGGAGCATCTCAACCCAGGCTCTCAAAGCCGAGAACAACCTGAGCTGTGGTAAGTCTGTGCACACTTAACCTGCTTCATGTCTTTAGCATTGTTCGCTGAATCTGCTCGTCATTAAGAAATGATGCATACATATGTGTACATAGAACCACCGCTAAGATCTCTTAGCTTTAAACCGTGACCAGTTCAGCCCTTTATAGGGTGTATTTGATGATGAACCATGTTTACTCAGTCAAAGTGGGCTTGCCATTCTTAAGTATTCCCACAAAACGTCACATTATTAGTTTATCCTTATCAAAATGTTCAAAATGATTGGCCCACACGTGAAAGCTTCAGCACTAGATTTGAATCCCAAGAAATTCACAAAGTTGTAAATTTCACTCACCAAAATGTTCCCATAATGCACTGGCCTTTTTTCATTCTGGAGCAGAATTTCTATGGTATTACCTAGGCGGTCACTTATTCAGCCAGAGCCAAATATCCAGCTGTCCTTGTACGGTAATTTTTGATTAATCTAGAATTACTGCATTTTTTTTAACACATCACTATTTGCTTGACAGCAAACATTTGTAGTTCATTTCCATTACTGTTGTAATATGAGCAGCGGGGCTGCGTCCCCAGCACCCGGCCACCCGCATGGCTAGCTTATGCCCAGTAATAATTACACGGAAACTGTATTCTTTTAAACACTGCCTGGCCCATTAGTTCCAGCCTCTTATTGGCTAGCTCTTACATATTGATCTAACCCATTTCTAATAATCTGTGTAGCCCACGAGGTGGCTTACCAGAGAGGATCTTAACCTGCAGCTGTGTCAGGTGGGAGAATCATGGCGACTCCCTGACTCAGCTTCTTTCTCCCAGCATTCTGTTCTGTCTACTCCGCCTAATTTTCTGTCCTATGAGGGCCAAGGCAGTTTCTTTATTAGTTAACCAATGAAAGCAACAGATAAGATACAAGACCCACCTCCATCACAATACTCTTTCCTTCTAGGTTGTGTATTAGGAGGCTTTAATTGTGACATCACTGGAAATAGCTGAATTCAAGTTATTATGGAAAATGATTATATGTAACAGAAAGTGTATTGAAATAGACTTCTATTCGGTATTCTTTATAACATAGAAGTTAATTCTAGAAGTCAGGTTTTATTATAGGACTGATTTAAACACCTACAGAAAATGGTTCTGTTATTGATTTAAATGTCATAGCATGAATTCTCAGGCGCTGGTAGCATACATCTTAATTAAAGACAGAGCTATTATTCAAAAGAATTCATTTATGATATTAGAAAAGATCCTTTAGACTATGGTTTAGCAAAGTGAGAGGACTCATAGCAGACAACCAGCGTTGTAAATAACATTTTATATGAGCACAGCTATGGCCATAGATTTATATACTTTAAGTCACTGTGATTACGCTAACAGGGCCAAATTGTTCGATACTGACAGATATGGCATGGCCCATTATCTTAAAATATTTGCCGTCAATTCCTCTAAGTCCGATCATCCTAAAATATTTCCCATTGGTCTTCATGAGCAAGTTTACTGAGCCGGAAATTAGCCCAAAGCTCCCTAAGAATTGTTGAGACTCGCACTGTGAGCAGCAGCGGGAAAGGCATCCAGCTGTAGGAAAGCAAGTCCCTGTGCGCCCTTACACTTGGGAGGGGCAGATAGATTGATATGTGTTCTTTGCCTGCATTCGTTAAACATTGTGAGTTTCTGTGGTAACATTATTTCTAACATCGAAAGATTAGATTTCCAGTAAAATGAACAATTCAATTGTTTGGGCAAACACAAATACCTGGTTGGTATCTCTGCATGGATTACACTGCCAGATATGAGCTGTGGCTATTCCTGTTGAAGAAGCTTAGCATTCACCTCATCCTTCATCACCTTTATATCCTCCCTCCTGGTTTGTTTCTTCCTCTCCAGACTTACATTCTCAGCCTGGCTGCCATTTAAGTGTGCAGATCCCAATTTAGACCACTCCTTTTGCTTTAAATAGGAAAGAAAATGAAGAGTAGAAAAACACATCAATTTGCTAACACACATCATTAATTCATACCTAGGAACCTCAGCTTTTAAAAAATAATTAATTAATACTTTTTTTTTTTTTTTTTTTTTTTTTTTTTTTAGTTTTTCAAGACAGGGTTTTCCAGCAGCTATGGAGACAGTCCTAGAACTTGCTCTATAAACCAGGCTGGCCTCAAGCTCACAGAGATATGCCTGCCCTTGCCTCCCCAGTGCTGGGATTAAAGGCATGTTTCACCACTGCCCAGCAATTAATACTGTTTATAATTGACAAAATTGTTATGTATTCATGTTGCATGATGTTGCCTCTATGCATGCAAAGTGGCTAGTTCAACTTACAACATCATACTCTGTCATTTCTTCATAGTGAAAAGATTTTAAGTTTTCACCATATCCCTTTTAGTGTTTTATATCCGAGGAACGGAACTCAGAGACTGGTTATACCATCAGCACGTTCTAAGCAATTTTAAACACACATTACATCACTTTCAACTACAACCCTCATGCAGAATAGTAGATCCTCTAAACTGTTCACTCCTGAGCTTCTAATCTTCCACTGGTAAAGGCCAGGTGGCCCGCTTCTGCCCCCCAGGCCCTGTGAATCACTGTTCTACTCTGTTTCTGATTTCAACCTCTTGGGATTCCACACATAAGCGAGATCATGCATTCCTTCCATTTTCTTAAATACCACCTTTGAGGTTCTCTTTTTAAGATTACCAGAATGTATCAAATGCAGGCTCACATATCAGCAAGTCATCTGTAAGTCTGTAAAATGATTCCATCGTAAGAGGAGCGCAGTCGTACAGACTCAAGGCGTTTGAGCCTCGTTAACTTTATAGCTGTCTTTTTAACATTGCAGGGTGACCTATTCCCTGCCCGCCTCCCCTGACCATATGTGCTTAGATGTCTTGCAGTGCCTGTCAGTTAGATTGGTGGGAGAAGGAATTTCCTGGTACTTAATCATCAGCCTGGGGCTGAAGAAGACAAGTCACTTATGAACGGACGGGAAATACCTGTACAAAGATTGTATCTCGGCCGCATTGGTTGAGCAAAACTTCAATAACCAAGAAAAATAAAGCGTGTTCTATTAACATTTTAACCTCTTCCCTCTCCCGGAAAATATTGTGGTTTGCTGCTTATGGTCATCATAATTCCACACGTTTTCAATGAGTACAGTAACCAATGGGGAAGTGCAGGCTCATTCCTTGCATTCCAGTAGACTGGCAATGTCTGCCAAGTATTGACTATTCTAGTATCCACTTGTGGAAGGAAATGAATACATTTTCCATCTGTGTGTCGCTGGATAAATTATATAAAGGGAAAGTAAGGGGGTTAGACAGAACAGATTACATTTAATGTTTAAGTATGCTCTCACTTTTCTCACATATTAAATATAAAATCAATGTCATCTGTAACTGTTTCAATCATTTTATAATCACACTGTTTTGTTTTTCTAAATTTTTCTAAGTATTTGGAGACTACCTCTGAATTAAGATTTTTTTTTTCGACTAGTTCATCTTTTTTAAATGAAGTCAATCTGGTCGGTTCTTTACCATTACAAATGCAGTAGCATCGATAGTGGGTTTTTTTTTAACATTATAGCATCTTTATTTTTCCTAGAACAAATTTCAAGCATATCCAGTTTTATGGCCCTCAGGAACATGTCATTTCCTTTGCTGACCCTTTAATTATAGGCACAAGTATTTGCCTGGGTTGTGATTACATTTAAGACATTGGCTAATGCCCATCAATGTTCACAAAGAACAGACAGTACTTTCTGTCTAGTTTTATTTACTTAACTGATTGCTGCTACTCTTTCCTGAGGAGTGGTACAGTATAACTCAATGAACAGCTGAAGTTCAAGCACGTTACATTTATTTATCTAGCATTTCTAAAGCACTTTCATCTCTTAGACATTGTGGATGACTAAGATAGAGATAAGACACAAGTTCCAAAGTACCCAACTTGGTTGTTGCTTTTTTTCTAAGATTTATTAATTTTTCCCTGGACTTTAGGGCCCTCTAAAATTTTGCTCCTGATCACGAAGACCCCATTACTCTCTAAATACCATTTTTTTTTATAATTATCTACTTAATAAACTACAGTCCTGGCTTTCACAGCTCTGAAATTCAATTGCTGGTCCTTAGTTTCCTGCCCAACAAATGACTGAGTTAATCGTTGTTAAATTATTAGATCATTTTTAATGGAAAGTATAATCACTTTATCATGACATCCCATTATTCGTAGAGGGTGTTCAAACTCATGAGCCTAAGTGATCTTCAGAAATAATTTTAAATACAAAATAATGATAAATGTCATAAAAAGAAAACTGAAAAGGTGACTCAGAGGACCTGAGTTTGGATTTTGTTACTAACTCAAAAACCCTATAATCCCAGCAGTAAAGAGGCAGGGACAGGAGGGTCACACTAACCAAGCAGTGTAGGGGAATCAGTGAGACCCAGGTTGAATGAGGGACTCCAAATCAAAAGATAAGGGAGAAAGCAGTCCAGGAAGATACTGGATATCAACTAAGTGGCCTTCATACACACGAGCACATAGTTGTACAAACATACATATACATGAACATACACAACACAGTACAAAAAAGGGAAATGTTTCTAAGAATCATAAAATAAGTTTATAATACATTTACTTATGGAAAATTGTGAAATTCATCTTAGTAACACCAACAAAGAGAAACTTGGAGAGGATTATATTTTTCCAAATCGTTTTTAACTTGCTGTCCTATTTTTGTAAGTATTAATTTAGGTTGTGAGATACGCTGCTGGCTACACGTCAGTGAGTGCTAACATGACCTGTGCAAATGGAGCGACTCCTGTCGGGATCCTTCCTGGCTGGGAGAAGAACAGCGGAGAGAGGAGCCTGAAGCCCTTGATGGTGTTTTGTTTCATTTTTAGTTGTCCTTTTTCCTTTTTTGAGACAAGATCCCTAACTGATTTGTTCTGAAGGTCCCTATGGATCCCTATGATGGGTTCTATCTCTCTTCCTCCCAAGTGCCGAGATGCCTGCTGCCATACCAGCTTCACGCAGTGGGACCGGAAGTCAAGGCTTCACAAGTTGGGTCTTGTCTTGCAGTCTCCTGATTGAACTGTAAACCCAGTCCTAATGATTCATTTGTAAGATTTTTTTCTTTAAAAAAATAAAATGTGACTCTAAATTTTGCTGTTAGGTAATAAGCTTTAAATATCTTTAGGAGACCCAAAAGCCAGACCCATGCAGAAATCACATAAGCACCACTGATGACTGAGAGGTCATTGTCCCAAGAGACCAGTTTGCCTCTGTCACAGTCTCCCAGCTGTAAATTTGTAAACCTACCACACTGGGTAACAAAATGCAAATGAGTAGAAATGTTATGTTTGTGTATGTTTTGGGTATTTACTCAGTTATCTGAGATGGTGTCTCGCTTTGTTCACCTGACTAGCCTAGAACTCCTGGGCTCAAGTCATCCTCCTGCCTCAGTCTTCTGAGTAGCAAACCTATAATGGCATTTCCCCATATCCAGCACTGTTTACTTTTTGTATTTCATGTATTTGTTTACATAGTCCAAGGTATTTGTAATATGAGATTTCCTTTACCATTGTTATTACCTTCTAATTAAATTATGGCACTTGCTTGTATGCCATTTGCATGTAAAAATATTTCAGATGTAATTTCTAGTGCTCTTGAGATACAATGATATCTATCTATTCAGTATTTATACAACACTAGTAATTTGATAAACTTGGCCTTCCCTTAGAAAGAACAACTAATTAAAATATTCAGAAGCAAATGTTTATAATTTCTTCTGAAAGGAAACCACAGATTGAAATGTATACAATGACTCTGATAAAACGGTCAAGATCTTGTTCTAAATCATGGCCCCTCAGCTGATGTTTCCCCGTATTCCCACCTCTGAGTTCCTAGATACGCTAGGGTGGAAATGTAGTTAGCCTAGAAACTTCTTTCCCACAACATTGTCCCTTATCTCTCTTTGTCTTGGAGAGATACCATATCAGTTTCTGAAGCCTCTCAGGAGCCCTGGACTGCCAGCATTGTGTGTAATCTGAGAACTACGGGAACCTCATCCAAGGGTCTCCACTGTGCCGTGTTACAATGGCTGAGATTTCTCCAGTCACATGAGTCTGATAGGCTTGTTAGTTTTCAGAAGTTCTTGCTAAAAGTGCCTGTAGAAGTGGGGGGGGGGGTCTGAAAAAAATGGACTTGCACAAGGGGCACCAAAACTTTGAAGATAAGTTCACCCTCTATCTCTGCCCTTCCTCAACTTTGCAACATCGCATGCCTTTCCCAGGGCACACGCTTGCTTAGGTTTTCAGTCTTCAAAACTCCCCCTTCCTATCTCTGCTTCCTTGCACAACCAGGCTTCCTCCTGCCACATCCACTCTCCAAAAGTCGCAGTCTGACTTTCATTGTTCCCACGAGACTGACACTGATTCCTGTACAGAGGAGTTAGAGGCCCTTTCAGACTTTATCTCTTCAACCTTTCTGTCCCACTCATTGCCGCCACACCCTCCATTCAACTTTCCTTACTTAAATTCTGTGAAGCCACCTTGACCAAGGGCTGCTTTTATCCCCCCCCCCCCAGATCTCTGCATTGGAAACTTAAATATAGCAATAGCTAAAGTTTAATCTGTTCTCTCCTTGGAACCCATACTCCAGTGAACACAGTCTCATTGGTACCTTTTGTTGACTGGTCCCCTTACAGAAAGACAGCTTCTCACGTGTGAACTATAGACGTCCTACAGGCAGATGGCATTCCTTGCCAGACATAGCAGAAGATAATCTATGATCTTTCTGTTTCCTTTCTCCATTTGTGATGTCATCATGCCTACTTTCTCAAGTTGGAAACCAGCAAAGTGTTCTCCCTCCTTCCCTTTCTCTTCCTCTTTCCAATTAGTCACTGAATCTTGCACAATCTATTTCATATTCTCTGTGTCCTTCTCTCTCTTTCAGTCTATCTTCTTGAGACATGTGCTATCAAACCTTAATGTTTAATATTACTTTACCTTCTTGCATCTTTCCAGATCAAAATTGCTATTTTCAAACCCCAGTCTGTAGTCTTACCAAGCACCCATTTGTTTATTCCAATTGCTTTTTAAAAAAGAGTTTAGGCTAAATTTAGCAGTCATTCATACTGGGATTAATTCATTCATAATTTACTTAGTGAAGCCTGAGCACGCATCTACTGTGTATGGGATTTGGTATTAACTACCTCAATGGCCCAGCCATTTGCAGTCAAGAAGGCCTTGCATGGACATATATCTGATCATTTCCACAGTTTTCTGTTACTACTCTAATACAGTAGTGCCAAGAGTGTGCACTCCCCGCTCTCTCCAGTACCACACAGGCACATGTTTTAGAATCCTGTGGCCTCAGAGCTCTTGCCACCTCAGTACCTGTAATGCTGTGTTTCCTGTTCATTCTTCTCACCAAGCTGATGACACAGCTTCCTGTTGGCCACCACCACGGTTGACACTCTTCTCTAGGTACTTTGGCGTATATTACAGTGAGGCTAGCTTCTGATGGTGTCTCTGTGAAAGTCGGCGTGGTGGCAGGAACTTTTCCTCCACATGTCATCCACTGTAGGTAAAGTGTCTGTCTTTGTTGCAGGAATCCATGAGGTAGTTCTTGCCAGCAAATATCATATCATAGACCTGCCTGAAGGGCTGGTCCTTTCTGATGTACTAGAATTTTTTCCATGAGCCAGGAGCTTGCGGCATCTGAAAAGAAGGAAACCATACATCCCTAGATGCCATTAAGCTAGATGTTTTCTGTTTGTGACTATCGCTTACCTAATTAAACACACTTTGTGAGCTCGTGCACCTGCTCTGCCTTCACATTATTTTCCCATGGGAAAGTTGGACAAATGTTTAAACATTTGAATGAATTCACCACTACGTAAACATCTTTCAAATTTAGATATATAGTATATATTTATGATGTATGTATAATGTATATCTTTGAGTTAATTATTTCTTTAAACAAATGCCCTATTTTGCAATAAGTTAAGCTCATAGTTATCTCAGGAAGATTTAGATCAATGGAGAGCATCTGAGTTTCATAGTTCATTATTCAAAAAGGCACCAAAAGTTTTTACACAAACTTAAAGGGACAATTGTGCTTCTTTCCTTTCATGTGTGAATGACTGAAGATTAGAGCTCAAGATTTTGAGGGCAATGTCAAATCTTCAGTTGTGTATTTGAGGAAATTAAGGTAACCTTACAAGACCTTTCATGTTGGAACACTGTTGATTTACTCTCTGAGGACTGTTTCTGCCTTACCAATTACATGATTCATAATATTGACTCTTTGGATAATATCAGCAAATCACAAGTTAAATTTGCATATGTTTTTGTGTTGACCTAGGTTCCTACCTGGTCCCTCTGCCCGCAGCTGAGCTGACGAACTGTTCAGATCTGGGGACTCTCTGTCAAGGTAGGAAGTCGATGACATCTTCCTGAACCTTTTTTGTGTTCTTGTGCTTGCTGTTTAGAAATGATGTTGTCAGCGCTTTGGTTTGTATTTTAATTTTCACCTGGAAACACAGAAACAGCAAAGAAGAATATCTGTGTTTACTTTTGCTGTGTGAGTGTACACTACTGGTGTGCACCGATAATGTTGTCAGGACATAATGGCCACATTGGCCGTACTTCCATAAAACGCTGGGTTTTTCTAAATGTGAATGGTTATATATTGCTTGAATGGATTGATTTCATTTCTCCCCATTTTTTCTTCTCAAGATTATTGCAAGTGTCTTGGATATGCAGTTGTGTAGTATCTTGAAGAGGTGCTCATATCCATAAATTGATAGAAAAGTTTATATTAAATATTTAGATAAGATTTGAAGATAAGACCAATGGGGCAATTTGTGTTATATTGTATAACTTGAATCTTTAGATAAAAAATGTTAAAGTAATCTAGTGTTAATATTACTGTGTTATTTTGATGATTGATGACTATATTGTAGATAGAATTGTTTTATGTACAAAGTAGTTGTATGCTAATAATATAGTTACATGTGTATGCAATATATAACAAAAATAGTTTGCTTATACTTATCATTACTCTTTCTAATTTTTGTGAGCAGTTTTTATTCATTGTCATGCTAAATTCCTCTATAAAAGTAGCATCTTCTATGCTCCACATTAGAATCATGGGTATGCCTTCCCATAGAAGGTGGCTTTGTTAAAAAGGATCATGGCACAGAGGCGACAGATTCAAAGTAAGATCATGCAAGTGGAATTTAGGCTCTTTGCAGTCTGAGGGTCAGCCAGGCAGGGCAAGGAGGAAACGCACTATTTTTGGATTTCCCTTCTAAGATAATATGAATACTATTACCAATCAATTCCTCAAGAAAATGACATTGCTTTTTCCCATGAACTCCATGAAGTTATGAAATAGTTTTGTAAAAACATAGCAGAAGACCTTTGATCCAAAGGTTTTGAAAATTCACTCATTTTTTATTGTTTTAATATAAATATCTAAAGAACTCAGCTCATTCTGTTGGACCAAAGGTCCAGAAACTCAGCATTCTCCTCGTGTAGTCCCCGGTTTTTCCTTAATGAACACAAATATTTTCATGATGCATTTGCATTAGGGTGAGCACAATTATTCCCAGTTTTGATTTACAAAAAAGAAAATTGTTCCTGTTCTTAAGTCTTTATTTTATTCTGGAATGGAAAATCATTGTCACTGCACGCATTTTTGCATCAAGAAGTTCAGCATTTTCTCTGGTGCCTTTGGAAGGCAATTCTTTGGATCATCTCTTCACTGTTTTATACTTAAGTAACAATTAAAAAGGAATAACAGATAGTCATTGTATACGTGATTATGCTCCGACACAAATACATCCATAAGATAAAACGAAGGAAAGCTGTGTGCTTGGTTAATTTTCTTCTTACAGAGGCATACAATCTCCAAGAAAGAAGCTGTCGAAGCAGTGCAAAAGGATTTCTTGTTTGTGCATTTTCAAGTGTCAGACAAACAGCTTAGCCATAGGACTTATGAAATGCCTCCCTTTAAGGGTTGTCCTTATGAAATATTTCCCACCCACTAGTGTTTGTGAAGTTTCTAGGGCCTCCAAGTGATTGGATTACTCCATGCACATCATCCCCTTGTTTTTCTTTTTCATTTATCTTTTCAAGGAGGGATACATTTTATTTTGCTATTTTATTTCCCTTGTCTCTGTGCATCAGTCCAGACTTGACTTAGTTTAGATAACTTCTAAGGTGTAAAATTATGCAGCTTGCCTGCTTTTAACTTTCTTTCAGTGGTCTCTGGGAACTAGTTTCTAGAAAGAGTAATTTCCCATGGGCTTACCAGCCTCTCAATTGCAGATGTAGGTATAGAATCCAACTTTGTTTTCTCCAGTCCCTCTGGGTCAGCTCTGAGCCTTTGTGCAATGTAGCACCAAAGCCATGCAAACTGATTCTTAATGTACCATAGAAAGTCTTGCTTCGTTTTATGCACTGTAAGCTTTTAGTCTACTGTATTAGTAGCATGAAATGGTTTCAATTCTCTTGTGCATTTTCATATAGTAGCTGTAGATTGCTTGTCCATATTAACTGTTTTATGCTCCTTTTAAAATTGCATCTTTCTCATCTTTATTGCCAGCTACTGTAAACCCTCCTAGTACTACACCACCCACTGTCACCACTAATATCCCTGTTACTAACAGAACCCATAAACCAAAGAATGGTAAGACTCATTTGGTAAGATCCTGTGTGTGGTATGTCTACAGTATGTAAAATTGTATTCTGAGAGTGGAAAGACAGACTGTTGCAGCAAAGTTGTATGATTGGCAACACTTGGTTCATTAGCACATCCAAGGACTAGTTGAAACAAACATCACTGTGTCTTGAGTCCCTGCTGAACCGGTAGAGCCGAGTACTTCTTTTCTTCACTATGAGCTATTCTCTTTCAGAGAAGATTTTAAGGAAAAGATATTTAATCGAAAGAAATAAATTTTCACTATAATACACTTGAGGATGGGAAAGGGGTGCTTTGCCTTTTATAGTGTTTTGTCAAATTAAAACACCTGAGGAACTTTCTGTTTGTTTGAGAACTAGGATTTCTCAGTGCACTGCAAAGGGTACCACCTGAGGAAACAGGTTTCTAAAGGATGCTATGATGTGTCAGAAACCTGATTCTTGGCATTTAAGTTTTTGTGGAAGTCAGCTCTGTGCTTACACACTTGTGAGATTTATATTAGTGGCCATGGTAACAGTTAGTACCTTTTTATCACTTCTTGAAGAACGCTGGTGAGGATGGGTTCTCAGTCAAGTTACGAATCAGTTTGGGGGTGGTTTTTCTGTCCTGGGACTTAAATCCAGTGTTCCATACATCAAGCAAGTGCCCTAACTCTGAGTTCCCCTTAGAGCCCCAATTTTTGAATGATAAAATTTCAAGTAATTCCAGCATTTCCTGCTATTTTTTTCTTTTTATGTTTTTCTATTAGTAGTAATCATAATGTTCAACTGTGGTAGCTATATCTTGTAAGAAGCCAGTAGAGGGAAAGCCAGATGGACCAATGCTTTATCTAATTCTGTCTCATATATGGATCACATTTTGTTGGCTATTTTGAGTTAGTGATTTCAGAGTTATAATAAAGACAGATTGCCCCATTGCTTTCAACAAAGTAATATTCTCAAATATGAGATACTAGAGGCAAAAAAGGTTGTGTAAAATCCAGTCCTGTAGCTTGTAAGGTCAAAACATCTGTAATGTATCACCAGAAACCCAAAACCCAGGGAAAAATAAACCCATATCGTTTACTCTTATTCTTATAGCTTTAGATATTTCATGAACTTCCTTTGTAAGGACATTCACATTAGAAGTATGGAAAATTTTACATGAAACATGGATATACATTTTGTTACAGTTATAAGGACATCAATTCAAGGAAATGTTTGTGGTTATTCTGCTCATTTTATACCACAGATATTTATGATTCCGGCACCTCCTCCTCCCCCACAGCAAGCAGCAGCAGTATTAGGTTCCAGTGCATACTTCACATGGACTCCTGCCATCAGATGGGAATATTACAATTCTAACTAAGTATTTCCCTCTTTGTATGAGCACACAAAGAGCCTCTGTGGTGCTCTCCCTTCAGAACTGGCACGTCCTCTGCTGCCCAAGAACATTGACATGGGTACTTCAGAGCCCATAACTTGGTGGACTGGAGCTGTATCCGCTGATTCATGCGGGGCCTAACACTCTTGAAGGGAGCCTTGTTCAGGCCGTCCATCTCTGCGTCATAACTTTCATTGGAGTTTCAACAAAGCAGGCAAATATTACAGTCCATTAAAATGGCTTATCTCCACCACAGTAATAAAGAAGAAGCTAATTCAGATGACTATTGTGATTAACATATAATTTCAATACTAGGTCACTGTGTGGTGAAAATCATCTCAAACTTTTGTGCTCCAATTATTTTTTATCATCCTAGCAATTTTTACCATGTACTCTAGCCGTGTGTTCTTCATACAATGGCTGACTCCTTCTTTATCTGTACTTACATGGAATTTCACTATTATATAAAGAAACCATAATTACAGAAATAAAAACTTGAAATAAGTGCAGTGCCACAGTGTTCCACAATTATCTCTTCTGTTCTACTGGATTGCTGAGGCCTCACCGTCTGAGCCTTTCATTATCTTTTCTAAAAAGTAAGTAACAAAGTACTGCAAACAAAAAAATTCAAATAAGGTTTTTTCCTCTGTCCAAATTTAAAATGACTGAGCTTTTTTTTCACTATAATAAAATCACAGTTATGTCATGTTGCGGAGTCTCCAATGTCATTCACATGCTACCAGCAACTTCTTATTCTTTGAGAAACTGGTACAGTAAACATTCTCAGGCTAGCATCTGATTTATCAGTAAATCCTATCTTTCCATTGTCAGGAAGATTGGGACAACTGTCAAGTCTATTATCTAGCTTATCCAGTTCTCTTTACTCTGGGCTCTCAGAATTTTACTGAGTTTATCAATAAATAATCTACCAGTGTATTAAGAGAGAGAACTAGTTCGCTTGATGATCAGATATTCTGCCTTGTTTTAGCAACCAAATTGGTTCTGATTGTTGTGACATGATCTTATTTTTCTTTGCAAATCTCATTATCTCACATAACATACCATGAGAGCCATCTTTTAGGCAACTTCTCACAGGTATTTCAGAATGCCATAGATGTCTAGGTGTTCCCACAAATAATGAATCTTTGCCCAATCTCCTTGGCCTTCCCCCAAGTGCTCCTGGAATAAGGATTATTTCCATTCCTAATGATATTGTCTGTGCTTGCATCAACACCAACCCTACTAACTGGTGAACTTCGATGATCTAGGCACATGCAGCCCAACTTAGTATTAGCTTTGGTGGTCCTCTTTATTGCGGAAATCCTGTTCACAAGTGCAAGTTGCAGTGTTCCTTCCAATTTCTCATGTGTTTAGCTAGTCAAATAACAAATTCGCTTGCAGGACCTTTGTGCGGGTCCAGCAGTCATTGTAGATTTATATGCCAGATGTCTTAAAGAAATGGGACGTGCAAGGGCAGGCAGGTTGCCATTCACAGTATAAATGCAGCTGACCTAATTGGCTCCTTGACGGTTTGGAGGAATAATGTGAAATCTAAACAGCATGTGAGTCGGATTTTAATTTGTCTTTGCAAATAAATACATTCAATTTCATCACCTCAATCCTATGTTTCACAACTTTGGAGACGATTTTTGTATTCCTCAAGGAATTTGGATAGTTAACTGGAGACCTCCAGTATGAAACACTGCCTAATGCTCTCTGCATTAGCTCTCTGAAGTTTTATATGGCTGGGAGAGGTACTTGGCAGGAAATTAAATATATACTAACTTATTTAGTTAGCTTCCTCCTGTTTAAGGTTATCAGAGGGTATTCTGGTCTATATGAAATTGTTAGAACAATAACTTTTGAAGTCAAGGGGATACATGAAGATTTGTGGATGGTCATGATACAAGAATATCATTTTTTTGTCTATAGGAGATGACTTGCTGCTCTGATAACATGAGGAGCCTAGACATTTCCCTAGTAACAATGTTTAAGCAAATTAATTTCTCAATAAAAAATCCCTGACAACAGCACACCAGTAGACATTCATTTTTTATTCCTTTGGTTCCTGTCCTGAGTATCACATAATTACCCATAAAATTACCCCAAAATTTTTAAATAAGTAACAAGCAGGCCCCATTAAGTTTTAACTAAGTTGGTAATTCTGTGCAGAGACTAATAATTCTTCATAACGCAAAAGAACCTTAGTATGAGACACTAGTTTATTTGAGAACTTAATCTAGTTACAACTTTCATAAATAGTGCTAAAAGTACTAAGGTCGTCTGATGCGGAATGTCTCATTTTCTGAAAACAATGAACTGAAGGAAAAAGTGGGGACAGGAAACCTTTAAAATGGAAAGAAACTGGGCTAAATATTTGGATGTTTCCATAAAATTTCAGAAATGTCAGTAGTTAAAATACTTACATTTTTACCATTTTGTAGTATGTTCAAGCTAAGGAAAAAATGACTTATATTTAGTGCTCCATCTAGTGGTAACTTTTAGTAACACTCCAAGCCTCCCTGACTTCCTAGACTAGCCCAGGATACTGGGACATTGCACTCCGCAGCTTGAATTTCCTCTAAGCACTCAGCAGGTCCATGATTTCATGTGAGGAGTCCTGTTGTGTAGGATATGTTTAAAAAAAAAACAGAGTTATTGTCATCTCTTTACCATGAGTCTAAATAGTTTCCACTCACAACATGTTTTGAAGAAATAAAAAATTGAAGATCATTAAAACAATAGTTTTAGACACTGAAATAACTTGTCTGTATAAACTAAGCTCACTGGTCTTTGAACATATTTTTTGCATATCTGTATTACTATATAAGGTAGAAATTCCTGCTATTTCACATGGGACTTCCAGAACTAGGATTTGCATTTCTGGTACAGCTGGGACTTTCCAAAGACATGTTTTTATATATAGTTTAGCACTGACTCCCCCAAATTTGCATTGAATGTACTCCTTAGCATTGTTTAATTTTATATTTCTAGATAGCTCATGTTTTGTACTTAAGGCTTACCAAAAAGTATGCGCAAATGTGGCTCACACTAATAGATATCTGTTTTCCCCGTCACTTTAACTTCAATTTTAAAAGGGTGGTTTTCTTTCATTGGTTACTTTGAGTCATGTCCCGTGTGGCGCACAGTTTGCTCCTGTGTGGTACCCAGTTACTCAGACAAAACCTTTGAGGACATAAAGACTCAACTACTTAAAAGAGCCACTAAGATGAAAAACCAGAACCTTCGTTTCAAGTATGGCTTTCTTTATAAAGCTTGTTACACCACTTAAAATCCTGCCTGTCAATATTAGCCTTCCTCCTCTCTATTTTGGTAGAGGGGCTATACTTAGAAACTTAAATGAGAGAGGTTTAGTCAGATTTTACCTAATACTCCAGGAAGTGAGTGCTTCTCTGAGGAGAACAAAGCAGGGAGGGAGGAAAGGACCACTGAAGAGGAGGCATGTGTGTGCCTGTTTATTTCCAGTATCAATCTTGCCAAGGATTCGAATCACTTAGTGTTTCACATTCCCAAACTACCATTTTTAACCACAAACAAAAAAGTGCATTTTCTTATTAACTAAAACCAAACTTCATATGGAAAACTCACTTTATCATCTTTCGGTACCAGAAATCTATAGAATTAAAAACTAGCTTGCAAGTATTACAATGGTCATAGCCAAGTGATGACTTAGAAGCAATGAAAGTATCTATGAGTAAACTAATCAATAGCTCCTTCTAAGCAGTTGTAAGAGTAATTTTAGCATCAAACTTATCCCCAAACACCCTGTGCCTGTGTGTTTAAACATATGTGAAGTGATGTGATTGTGAATTTGCATTGTTTGTTCCAAGTGTAAAAAATAATTAAATTTTAATCCTATTTCCAATGTGCAGACGGAATAATGTATAGAATATCTGTTGTGATTCACAACGACCTTAATCACCCGGAAGTAAAAGTACAGAGCAAGGTAGCAGAGTGGGTAAGTGAACTGATTCCCTTGATTCTGGCTTTAAAACTTCAGCTTCTTTATAGATGGTAAAGATAATGAATGAAACCGTAGATTCTATTACTGCACAAGTGATGCTCATTATAAATATATGAATGGGGTGCTAGAGAAGAGGACCAGTGGCTAACAGTGTGTGGTTGCTCTCGAAGACCATCCAGCTTCAGTTCCCAGCATCCACATCTGGTGGCTCACAACTACCTGCAACTCCAGCTCCAGGGGAGCTGCCCACTTCTGGTCTCCTTGGGAACCACACTTGTATGTGCTTACCCCCCCATATAGACACATAATTAGAAATAAAATTAAAAAGTATATGACTAGACAGAAACAAGACTTTCTGTTAATGTTCACGAAGAGAGATAGTCTCCTTGGATTGGAACAGGAATTAGGTGCTCAGTGATGAGACAGGAAGAAAGCTGTGGAGAAGGGATGCCTTTTTGCAACCCATTTTTCTTTCCACACTGCTCTTTTTTTATTGCTTTTATGGGCAGAATAATTTATGAATATGAAATTATTTCTTTGCATTCTCAAGCCATGGCTGGTATTGCTAATCATGGAATGAGCACTAACTGGTGGGCTTGCATTAGATAGGGTGCAATTTGACATTTGCATCTTGCAATTTCCCTCCTCCCCAACATCATTGTCATCAGAGGCTAAAATTCATTAGCTCCTTTTCATTTGTGAAGCAAGTTCCCAAAGAGGATGTTTGAAAACATCATGCCCCAACACCAGTTACAGGGATCATCTGACCTGAAAACTCAAAATCTGACAGATCTCTTGAGTATTTGAGTTAAGGATGATAAACTAGGAAGTCCATGCAAATATTCCAGATCTGGGAAAATAATCAGAAATCGGAAAGACTTTGCCTCCAAGTACCAAACTTAGATAAAGCACACACAACCTAAGAACACAGAAAATAGTTGTCATTATTTTTCCAATTATTTTTTTAAATTTACATTGCATTTTAGTAATGTTCACAACAAAACTAAAGATGTGTACAAAATATGACCAAATAAGCCTTGGAAGATGCTTAAAGGTAACAGGATTTCTTGTGGTTACACCATAGAAATTTGCTGTTCATATTCTGACCCATACCATCACTTTTAACCACTTTGGCATCGTCCCAATACCATGGGGCTTTATCAAAGATGCATTTTCCTACTTATACTTTCTCTTACCACTGATGTTCTTACGAGATGGCAATTACCACAAAACATGTTCAATTGCATCTCAGTAATTAATGTAACCAAAGGAAAGTGTTTATCAAGGGGTTGGTAGGCTGTTAGCTAGAGAGGAAATGACAGTGTTTCACACCACAGCAGCTTGAGTTCCAGTGTGAGATCTGCTGGTGATTAACAGATGGTTATGAAAAAAGCTACTTCATCTCTCCAGACTCTATTTCTTCATAAACAAGAGTGCGGAGTTTGTGTGGGAATTTAGTGTCTTCTTCAGTGACTCATGTACGGATGGAAAGACATGGCACTCATTACTTCCTTGGCTTCTCTGGCCCAACAACCAACCCTTCCTTTATCTTTCACCCTTGTGGTTCTGCAGCATTTTCCCAGGGTCTTTTCTTTCCCAGTGACAGCTCATGTTTTGGAAGGGGGACAACCTTGACTCAGAAAAGAATGTTTTCAAGCATTACTGCAACTCATCCTTTCCCATTGTGTCTTCCAGCTCAATTCAACCCTCCAGAACTGGAACTATACTGTTTATGTGGTCAATATAAGGTAAATGCATTGATTATCTGAGAAATAGAAATATTTAATTTACTGTTCCTTCTCAGACTCTATCTGAGCACCTGTGTGATTGATTCTATGTGCATAACTGAACCAATATAATATGTGTTCTAATGTAAAAAAATTACAAGAAGGTAATCATAGTCAGAAATTGTTTGGCTTTCCTTAGAAGATCACAGTAAGGATGCTTTGGGCATGTCACCATGATGTGGGATTCCCCTCTGTATGTTATGGAATATGTTTTATTACCATATTGGTTAATAAACAGCCTACTTTGGCCTATGGAAGGGCAGAATATAGGTAGTTCGGAAAACTAAACTGAATGCAGGGAGAAAGAAGGTGGAGTCAAACAGATGTCATGTAGCGCCCAAGAAGCAAGATATGAGGTAACAAGCCACAAGCCTCATGGTAAGTTATAAAATAGTAGAGATGTATTGATTTAAGATGTAAGAGCTATCTAAGAATATATCTGAGCCATTGGCCAAACTATGGTAATAAATATAGTTTTTGTGTGATTGTTTGGGTCTGGGTGTCCAGAAAATGAACGCACAGTCTCTGTTTACATCACTACATTTAGAGACCACTTTCTCTACAAAATAAAATATCAACAGTCTTATTGCAACCTTTTTTCAAAATTAGCTTTTATTACTTTTTCTACTTAAAATTTTTACTAAATAATACCCACACAGGCTCCTGCGATCATGCTTTTGTAATTTCATACTTAAATATCAGAGATGTAAAGGTCCAGGAAAGACATCAAGTTATCATAAGTCCAGGAAGTAGCTCACTTAACAAACACAATCAGGTTCCTTTTCAGAATGTCTTAGGGTTTGTGGTCTACTAAAATGCACTGTGGATCTTCACGAGAGCACAGATGCAGTTACCCAGCTCTGCAGACTGGGAACCGCAGAACACAGACTTGGGAAGATAGTCTTAGAATATCCATTCTGACGGCTTTTTTCACCTTTCCCAGTTTTGCTGTAGAGGACTGGACATAATGGATGAGAAACTGATCATGGATACTTGTGTCTGTCTATGACTGGACACAATGAATGGGATTGATAGTTGACACGTATATCTGTCTTTGACTGGATGCACTGGGTGAGCTTCATAACAAACACATGTCTGTCTTTACAGTATTCATCAAAACACAGGCGAGGACAGGATTAAAGTCAAGAGAGACACCCTGGATGATGACAAAAGGTAACACAGAGGAGACTTGGAAAGTGTAGCGTTTTTTTCTCCTGCTCATTGCTTTTGCTGTCTGGGGAAAAAAAAAAAGGTGAAATGATGGTCAGAGGAAAAACCTTTGAGTTGCCTAGGACGTTTACATTATTTCTTCAGAATGAATGCAAATCATCTTTTTCTCATATCTGAAACAGAAAGAGAGTAAGTGGGGTTGAAATGTAAATCTAAGGAAAGTCCTAGAGAAGCAGAGCACTTGAGAGGGGTAGGTGAGCAGGGCTAGATTTCTATGTCTTCAAAATCCATCATCTCTTATTCAAAATTCCAAAAAGACCTTCAAAGGGAAGAGTTTAGAGCAAGCAGTAAAACTCAGTGGAGTATTGATAGCATGTGCCTAGAATTGCTAGGTCTTGGGTTCTAGCCATACAACTGCCCTCCATCCAGCCCCATTGTGAGAAAGGTCATAATTACATGTTATAGCATATAAAATATAAAGAATATGAACCAAACATTTTTAGTATATACAATCATACCTATATTTAAAAGTCTCCATTTTTAAATTAGTATCAGGATCATGACTTAACACATAGGTGATTAATGGCTATGCTCAGCGTGCACAGCCAGTTGGCATATAAGGATCAGATTTTCAAAATGCTGCAAAATGAAAACCCATTAAATCCTTGAGTGAAAAACAAGTACTTGTCTTAGGATTGTATGTTGTGTCTCTATAGAACAAATCATTGGAAAGGTTGATAGTCTTAGAAACCTTGCTAGGTTTTAATTTACTGACTTGGTATTATGAAAATGTAGCCACTGGGCAATGAAATGGTCCATTGAGCAAAGGTGCTTGCTATCAAGCCTGTTGACCTGAGTTTGATCCCCAGTACCCACATGGTGGAAGAGAAAACTGAATGGGACAGCTTGTCTTCTGACTTCCACAGGTGCTCTATGGAACACACAACACAACACATGCACACCACATACACACATACACAACATACATAACATACACACACACACATGCACAAGCACACTCCAAAATATAAAGATTTTTTTATAAAACGGAAAGCACAGCCATGATGCATTGCTACTATGAGAAGATACACATAAAATTGTATTTGAGAGTTGACCAGAGATCTTTATTAATTTCCCTTTCTATTTAATACTGGAAATATAGAAAACAAATGTTTGGAACTATCAACTTGTCATTTCTACATAAATTCAATAAAGGGGATCACACTGTCTGATTAGGGGAGGTTTTTATTCTGGCATCATTCATTTTCCTTTAAGATCTGGAAAGAGAGTAACTTATTTTAGGATAGCAAGTGACAACGCTTTTCTCCTCTTCCTAGGAAAATGTCCCTTTCCCACATCTACTACTTCATTATGTTGAGACTACAATAATGGACCCAGCGGTGGCTAGGATCCTCTGTGGATTCTTTACATAGCATTTGGGACAAGAGTAGCTTGAAGTGAGAACAGTTGTGCCCGCGGGAATTGAGCATCCATCCCATCAGCTTCCTCAGGAGGTTATTCTATTACTGATGGCACTAAAATCAGCCACAGTTAGTGTATGTCAGCCACTCAGAACTCTTGTTTGAAAGACATTTAAATAAATAAAATCTCTGTTTCCTGGTCTGTCAAACCAGTGAATAATGTCACCAAAAAATATAGGGAGAATGAACCAATCTAGCTCATGGGAAAATCCACTTTCTTCGTTTTCCTTTGTTATAAATTCTCAGCATTGTCCTTTTTTATAGCTTCCCTCTCTTTTGAAAAACCTATTCTGACTATTCTTTTGTTTACTGATAAGGTTTTGTAGCCTCTCTTGTAGTTTTCCCTCACACCACAATCTATTAGTTTTTCATTCATTCTTTCCCCCCGAACTCTCCGTTTCAATTCAGGCTTGCAGCTTAAGCAGCTGATAATGCTGCTATGTTTCACTCCTAGACAGGCAGAAAATCTGAAACCACAGAGGGACTGACTTAAACAAATGATGAACGGCCGACGGCCACAAGAGATAGACCTTGGCCACTGTGGAACCATAGAGTAGTTTCTGTTTTCAGATGGGAAAGAAAAATAACAATGATAAGGCTTGTGAAAATGCAGACTCTTTCTTGAATGGCTAAGTCTGTGTATTAAATATATCCACAATGCATTGTGCTGACGCTGTCCTGGACACGGCTAGGGATGCTCAGGAACCATGGTGGCAGTGCTTTTCTCCCAATGGTCACTGAATCAGAGGACATCTCATCATATGCCATTTAGAAAATGGTCCAAGGGTTCGCCGTCCACCACATGTTGGCATCTATACTTGCCTCATCTGAAAATATGGCTGATGTATGAGTGTTAAGCAGTAGATCACTTTGGAGGTAAAATGTTTCCAGAGTCAAAGAGGAGAAGAGTACACTTTGTCCTTGAGTTGACTGACCAGCTAAGTAGGCAAAATCCAGCTATGTCACCTAACCTTAAGTAAAAGATATTTAACCTATTCCTTGTTTTTTATTACCAGAAATGTGCTATGTCTGTATTTACTTCTATTCTTACTGACTAAATTTTATCAATAAAGTGTGCTGACCTCTAGACTTTGAGGGCACATGCTTCCTCTTTTGCATGTGACTATCAACCCATCTGGATAATAGCATGATGTCTGCTGTACTCTTGACTTCTCCTCAAAATAAAGAGGAAATACACATGCAGCACTCTCACACAAAGGGGCAAAAAAAAAATCTCCTTTACCTGACAAAATGACAGTATGTACCTCTGCCTCAGTACAGAATTGCGTTTAGATTTTACTATTGACAAGAGCTTAGCTGTATGTTTTGACAGTGGTCTTAAAATATACATTTGTACTTCCCATAAAAAAATTTTCAGGGTTACACTTTCTAAAACCATTTTAATAGCCAAACTGGGTACATTTTGAGTATTTATTTTACATATTTTCACCATATGAAGTACTTGGAGAAAACTCCATCTGTGAGACATGCACCATATTTGTAAACAATGGCACACACCAGTTTCAAGAGTCCAATATGCAATTCAACCATTTTCTTTGACATTTTAAGTTTTGCCTGTAAGTAAACAAAATAGAATTAACTATACTATGTCCCCTTTTGGTGGATGTTAAAAGTATTATTATATGGCATATGAACTGTTAATACTACTTAAATATTTTTGAAAAAGTGGGCTGTTATGAAAAAATTCTAAAGAATTATGTTGTAAAAAAAAATCTATTCCAGATGAGACAGACTGAAGATTATAATCTGTACCACAGAGAAAGAAAGGCCAAGATTTCTTAGTTCATCTTTTCAGTCTTAATAGCTCCTGGCATCCAGGTTTTGTTTCTCCCAGCGGGGGGGGGGGGAAGCAGTCAGAAAGCAACCCTGGGAACAACAGTTCTCTCTGACATCTTTTCTAGGGTGGTGCTGTGGGCTCTTCTAGTCTACAATGCTACCAACAATCCCAACCTGGATGAAGCAAAGATCGAAGAGAAGATTAAATCCAACAATGCATCACTAGATGAAGGCCTGAGGCTCCACGAAGTCAATGTGAATAAGCTGGGTACGTGAGTTCAGTATGTGTGATTTACACATTCAGAGTTAAGCATGCAACAGCCCAAACAGTCTCGTTTGTTACTTGTCTGTGATGGGATTTTAGTGATGGAATTAGTTATATCAGAGATTGTTAAAAAAATATGTAACATTGCATAAAAATCAACTCAACACCTCTAAATCTAAGGGAGTGAAGGAGGCAGGCAGTTTGGATTTTTCCTTTCTCATCCCCAAAGGAGCAAAGTACGGGAGTAACCTTGACCATCACTGGCTTCCACTTACAAGATAAAAAAAAAAAAAATGCATATATGCATTTACAAGAACTCTCATGAAATAACTTATGAGAGAAGTTCTTTATTATAAAGCATCTCTTTTTACTGTATTCTTTGCCCGTTAATGATGTCATTGCCTTCACAGCATTAAGCCAGGGATCTTGAAGTTAGAATCAGTTCTCAGCAACACACCTTCCATGTCCTAAGCTTTCAGGAGACGTATGGCACAGCTTGCACTTTCCCAAGCTTCCATGCTCTTTTATAGCTAGGTGGTGTGCACACCCTCTACTATACCTGCCCACTCACCTTCACCTTTGATGATAGCCACACAGCCACCTCTTCTTTAAAGTCTTTTCTGACATCATCATGCACAATACACATCACCATTGTTGAGCCTCTGCTTCACATTGCTCAGAGATCTTGTGAGTCACATACCTGGGAAGACTATCGTCTTTCATTGGACTTATTTGCATTCCTATGTGAGTCTTCTTTAAGTATTTTGATCTTTAGCATGAGATGACATCTTATTTTTTTAATGCTTAGCCCCCAGCACTCGAATACTTGTTGAATGAATGCATGAATCTTTTCTTTTTTAAATTTCCGCCTCCTCCCCACCTCCCTTTCCCCCCACCTCCCCCACTCCTCTCCACCTTCCTCTCCAGTCCAAAGAGCAGTCAGGGTTCCCTGCCCCTGGGAAATCCAAGGTCCTCCCCCCTCAATCCAGGTCTAGGAAGGTGAGAATCCAAACAGGCTAGGCTCCCACAAAGCCAGTACATGCAGTAGGATCAAAACCCAGTGCCATTGTCCTTGGCTTGTCAGCAGCCCTCATTGTCCGCCATGTTCAGCGAGTCCGGTTTTATCCCATGCTTTTTCAGATTCAGGCCAGCTGGCCTCGGTGAGTTCCCGATAGAGCATCCCCATTGTCTCAGTGTGTGGGTGCACCCTTTGCGGTCCTGAGTTCCTTGCTCATGCTCTCTCTCCTTCTGCTCCTCATTTGGACCTTGGGAGCTCAATCCAGTGCTCCAATGTGGGTCTCTGAATCTTAATGGAGGTATTTGAAGCACAGTTAATAAAAACTCAAAGAGAGAAACTGGGGTTTAACCTGAAGATCTGAAAATCAAAGCATTGGGTCACTGACTCTTACCTTGACCTCATGACCAGGGGCCTGTTTTGCTCTCAGATCTTTAGGCAAGCTTTGTTAAAATACAACTGAAATGCCACTACAGGTATTTTTGTTTTTAACAAGCAAATGTCTAAAACTACATACAAATGAAAGTATTGGCTCTGGTACTTTTTGTATAAAGTTAGAGTCTGACTAGAGACTTCGGTAGGCATTGGGTCAAAAGATTTTGCTGCTTTCCCTCCAATACATTAAGGAAGCTCAAGTGGGAATGTGGGTGCTCTTCGCCCCCGCCCCCAGAGCATGCAAACAAACAAGACCACATCCAAGTGTGATGAGCCCCCACTTCTGTGAGCACCTGCTCATCTCTGTCTACTGTGTCAACATGCAGAGCTAGAGAGACCCTCAGAGGGGTGGATAAGCATTGAGAAGCCACAGTAGTGCCAATTCCTACTAAACAATATCTGGGGTTTTGCAAAAGTATTCGCTTTCTCACAAGCAGGGCTTCTACAGAGGGGAGCAAGAGCTCTCCTTTCATACACAGGCAGTCTCTACAAAGAAGCAGCGACAAATGGCAGTCAAGATCTCTCTCACCATACAACCCTGAGGGACCAATCCAATCTGCCCTGACAGACTGGACAATCTTAGGACAGCCACCTGTGCATACATAGATATTTAATTTATACCAGTTATTTGCTGATTTTTACGTTGTGTCTCTAGAAGCAGCTGTGAAGAAAGGGTTGTGGCACTTGAAAAGAAAAGCTTAGAACCTCCCAGATTCAAAGGGTAGACTGGAAAAGTCATTTGAATTTTCACTCGGGACCTACAGGTCCTCAGAAGGACCACATCTTTCAGTGCTTTCGCTGCTCCTTCACATTCAGAAAGTTTTAGTGTAGGTGTTGCTGTGGCTTTGACGTTTTCAAATAATAAAGTCTGAATCGTTTTGCCATTGCAATCAATTAGCTGGAGTGTTTTCACTCGAAAAGTGGAGCGGTTTGAGAGCGAGGGCAGAAGGCAAGACGGCTAAGGCTGGCTGGGGGAACTTCCTTGCTTTCCTTTTCTAGTAAGCTTTAGAGACTGTACACTATGAGAACAGCTAGACTGGGCGGTGGTGGCGCACGCCTTTAATCCCAGCACTCGGGAGGCAGAGGCAGGTGGAACTCTGTGAGTTCAAAGCCAGTCTGGTCTACAAGAGCTAGTTCTAGGACAGGCTCCAAAGCTACAGAGAAACTTTGTGTTGTGGGGAAAAAAAAAAACAGCTAGAAAATACTCCATAAAATGTGCTTACAACTCAGCAATGAAGCTATTCATTTATGGGCCCCCTCCCCTGTTTTAAACGTATTTTGAAAATTTCAGGTCTTTTCTCGGTTCCCATGATGTTTACTCTCCGAATAAAACTCATACCTTAATGGTTTACGTGAATGATCATATATATTTCATTATTACATTTCATCCTTTTATTATAAGACGGCTTTGTAAGATGTAATAATTTTTATCTGAAATATGTTTACTTTTGTTAATTTTTAAAAATTCTAAATATAAAACATTGGTATTTTAGTAGTATATGTAATAGTTACTGAATTCCCAGGGCTGTCATTGGTTTTCATTCCTATACCTTTAACTTCAGAAAATTAAGGACTTGTCTATTTCTGACTCTTACTTTCTTCTAGGTACATGTAGTGCCGAGGAGGATCCAGAGGGCTTTAGCTGGCCAGCCATCTCTTCACGCTCTTCCTTTCAACAACCATGCCCTAACAAGCCGGGCTCTTACATAACACGGACATGGTAATCTTTTTCATTGACTTGCAAGCTACATGTCCAAGCTTTCTCTGTCTGTCAAAGCAGAACTCATTCATGAGATGATTTAAGAAGTTGGGCAGCAGTCACACACTCATAGGTGGATAGAGATGAGAAAAGAACAACCCACGTGGCCGTTTTCATCTGAGCTGTGAGCTAATTGAGCTCTCTCCAAGAATGAGGAAGTTGGAAACCAAACTGTGGCCCCAGAGCAGAGAAGACTGTGGCCACTGTGGTCTCAGAACAGGCACCTGACCCCCAGAACTTCTTACTCATGTGGGGAAGAGAACTGGCAAAGGGAGAATAAGACCAGAACCAGGTTGGGCAGCCTGCTGACATAGACTGCCAAGACACAGGATTTCCCTACACATCTAATAAGCCTTCGATAGACAGTTGGAGGGGTCCGCCAAGGCTCCCTGCATGTCTAGTTCCCCACCCTCTGCCTTGGGCCCAGCTAGTTCTTTTGGAAGGAATTCAGGAACAGAAAGTGCCTAAGTGTGAGTCTTCCGCATCAAGGGCTGTCGTTGACACTTGGTGGGGAGGCAAGACAAGTGCTGTTAGATTTATGGACTCAAGTTTGAAATGTGGCCCTACCTCTTCCTGGCTCAAGTTCTTGGGAAAATTCCTTGGCTTCTCTAAAATGCATTTCCCTTCTCAAAAACGTGGATTGAAATCTGCTTTCCAGAGTTATGTGAAATTGAAATGTGAGTTTTCCAGTAAAGTCCTTAAAGCAGCACTTGACAGTGTACGCGAGGTCAGGACGCAGGATGTAGGCAGGGCTTCCCTTCAAGAGTGCAAGTCCTGACTGATTTTTCAATGAGGATTTTTATCCTCCTTTTTAGTATTCTTTTCAAAGGGAATCTAGCTGGATAGCGAGGCAAATCCCAAAACTTATGAATTGCTTTTGTTGATTGTAATTTCATTGGTGCCATGTACTTAAATGTTATTTTGTTGTCTGGGAATTATCACAGCCTTTCTAATGCCACATCAACCTTCTGGAGCCCTGTTGACGCCTCCAATTGCTCAAGTGAGTGCCATTCGTCTTCCGTTTCCCAAAACAAAGTGTTTTCATTCTCTGCAGGCATGATGTTCCGCTATGTGATATTGTGATATTACTATAATTTTAAAACTCAGGCAAATGAATCTTTCACATATTTTAGGTAGAAAGCATACTTTTCTGTATTTTAAATTTCAGTCATAGTCATAAACTAGGGAAACAACAATGATAAGAAAATTATGCAGAGGATTAAAAGTAGTGCGCAAGTTGCTACTTCTTTCAATGTTTTTCATAGTTCTGCATTATTATATCAATGCTTTTCATCAGGGAACACCAAACCCTCTGAATCATATTCAAGAAATCTGTATCATATTTAAGAAATCTGTCACAATGTGTAAAGAAACGTTGCCTTATAAAGATGGGGGTGGGGTATGCATGGGAATCCCACTTCTTGTATATATAGACAATTCACACTGCCTCTTCCCAGAAATGTCTAAAACACCCAGACAAACTTTGTGTTATTTCTTTCCCTCCTTTTAGGACAACCAAATCAAAAGGCCAAGGCTATTTTAGATTTAACTGGTGATGGGCAGAACCTATCCTCAGCCAATATTAGCAACATTGTTGAGGAGGTCAAAAGGATAGTGAGCGAAGAAGAAAATATTGATATAACGCTCGGCTCCACTCTAATGAATATATTTTCTAATATCCTAAGCAGTTCGGATAGTGATTTGCTTGAGTCGTCTTCTGAGTAAGTATAACTAAGTGTTAAGCTCCATCCATGTGTTGTGAGATCATTGCTCCCTCTCTGAACGCTTTGTGCCCTGACTTCATGATTCACAACTCGAGAAGGTGCATGGGTATTTCCCAAGGTCATTTACAAAGTAAACTTTAAAGTTCCCTAATTATTTCAGAAGCATAGTTTACAAAGCTATTAGGGATTTCATCCGGCCGCATATAAAATAACTCGGCCACTGCGAATTGACACAATGTTCTGCACATTGTCACAGCTATGTGAGCTTCTCAAAGGAACACGTCCAGCTGGGTGTGAATGCGCATGCTTTTAATCCCAGCACTCAGAGGCAGAGCCAGGCAGAACTCTGAGACTGAGCCAATTAGGTCTACAAAGCAAGTACCAGGATAGCCAGGGCACTGTGTACAGAGAAACTCTGTCTTGAAAAACAAAACAAAACAAAACAAAAATGCCTAGGGTAGGTAGGAGAACGTTACTTTATATTTTATTTTCCACTTGATAGTAGCGTCTTTAATTTCTTCTATTTCCTTTTTTGATTTTTAAAAATTAAATCATGCTTTTTCATTTCTTATTGTATTTATTGAGCTATATATTTTTCTTCACTTCCCTCATTCCTTTCTTTAAATAATATTTCTTTGATAAAATGTGTTTGTTAAACACATTCTCTAGATTATTTTATCTCTAGCACATTAACTGCAAACAACTTTTGAAGCATAAATATAATTATTCTTAGCAATTAAAACCAGGAGACAGAGATCAGGGTACAAACCTGGAGTATCAGAGAAGCAAGGAAGCAGCCACCAATTGCTTCCTACCTCTGCAGCTTCTCAGTCCAGAAGGGCTGAGATCTTGTCTGTGCCCCACCTTATCATATCCTGTCTCCTCTCTGTACAGACCTCCCGACCTCTCTGGTTAACTAGTGGCTAGGTCCGCCCTTTGACTCCAAGCAAACTGTATTTGCTAGAACACAAACCAATACCACACGGCAAGTTTTACAGTGTCTTCTGGCTTCTCAAACAATGTCAGTGGCAAACAAAACTTCTGACGACTTAGTTACTGATTTTGCTTAAGATGTGTTTCTGAGGATGCATCAGTTACTTTGATTCTGTGTTCCAGCTGAGAGTCCTGGGGTTTGAGGGTGGTGTTATGTCCTATATGCTAAGATCAGAGGACTTAAAGATATTTTACATTAGTATTTTCTCATGGGGCAAGTACCTAAAGCACAGTGTAATATAACAATGATGCCGTTTTCATTTCTTTAGAGCTTTAAAAACAATTGATGAGCTAGCCTTCAAAATAGACCTGAATAGCACAGCACACGTGAATATTGCAACACAGAATTTGGCTCTTGGAGTATCATCCCTGATGCCAGGGACGGATGCACCTTCAAATTTTAGCATTGGTCTTCCAAGCAATAATGAATCCTATTTCCAGGTAACAAACCCATGTTTGTTTTCATTTTGCCTAATTAAAGACACAGACAACAGTCTTACTGGTTCTTTAATATTAGATTCCTCAAAGAAGTCTTAATCCAAGTGATGGTAGACAGATTTGAACACTGTCTAATATGACATCAGCAGGCCCAGAAAAAGCAGAAGTACAGAGGTCCATATGATGAATGGTGCCTTCTAAAAAAGAAGCAGAACGAAATGTTAGCACGTGGGTAGAGATCACCATATTGGAAGATAAGTCTTACTAAAGAACTTTGGGTTAGAAGAGATGAGGGAGAAGCTGTCTCCTTGCCACTGCTTGCAAAAATGAACTTTAGTGCCGCAGGGAAGATGTGCTAAAAGCAATTCTGGGCCTTGCCTTCAGAGCCTCTAAGATGGTGTTCTGTGTAGGGTCCTGACATGTCCAGCTTAATCAAGGGCTCAGTTGTTACTGACACTGCTGATCTATGGATCATGTGGTGCAGATCCACAAATACAGAGACTTGGCAGTGGCAGGTGACAGACAAGGCTGAACAAGTCATCTGGGACTCTACTAACCGTCTGGGATATGTTAAAGTCACAGTTCATCCAGTAATTTGTAAGTTTCTACTGTTTCAGGCACTGTTAGCAAGCAGAGCAAACACAATAAATACAGCACCATCCCTGACCTGGGGGGGGGCATTAAGGATTTTTTTTATATTTAAACAGTGCAAGCTCCATTAGTCCCTCGCTCATACTAAGTCCAGGAAGTATTTATGACCTGAGTTATAGTTTCAAGAAAAATAGTATATTACAGTATTCATGGTCCTGGCTCTTTTTCAGTCTGTAGCCCATAAAGCAATGTGCAGGGTGGTCAATCAAGGCTGAGAGATGCTGTATAATTTCTCCATTCAAAGTGTGTCACTCGGCTTGTCTCATTTCAAATGAAGGCTACAATGTCAAAGCTAAACCAAAGCAACTAAAACAAAAAAACAAAAAACAAACAAACAAAAAAAAAAACCCAAAACAACTATCACCCCTTTGCAGAGGTAACTAACCATTGCTGTTAAAAAAAAGTTAGTCTATGCCCATAATCATTGCTTTATGGTGTGTGGGATGAACGGAGAAAAGATCAAAATTGGACACCTTCATATCCCACCCTCATAGATGAAGATATTCATTTGTCTCTAGAATTGCCAATGTGCTTTATGATCAAGGTATTCTTATGTAAACCCCTAATGTGATCTCTGCCTAGTTGCAAGGGATTTATCCAGGAATTCCAGATGTTGGCAGAGGTCAAGGGCAGCCCTGGTTCTGGCTGAGGTGGCCCTTTCAGACGTCTCATCTAACACAGTCTGACCATTGCCCTCATGATGACTTTTCCACGGGTGCCTTTGTGTGTGGCAGATGGACTTTGAGAACGGACAAATAGATTCATTGGCATCCGTGATTTTACCTCCGAACTTGCTGGAGAATTTAAGTCAAGAAGATTCCTTATTAGTCAGAAGAGCACAGTTTACTTTCTTCAACAAAACTGGACTTTTCCAGGTGAGAACCTATTAATATTTTTCCAGTTTCTAATAAAGTTATCTGTGCTCAAAGGCTAAAATGTTCAGATTCTTTTGAAATACGGCAGCAGACAGAAAAATGAATCTGCTATGTTTTCAAAGATTAAAAAAATAATGTAAATGTTCAAATATTTTATTAATTAATGTCCCTTTTAACAGTGTTTACTTACTTGGGTTTTAAAAACAAATTGTCAGGCTAAGATTTGTGTTATATAATGTGGAATTGAGTTAGTTATGGCACCACTATTTATTATTTGTTAATCCTTTTGTTCTCCAGCTCCCCTCCCCCGCCCAGGTCTCTAGAGTTAAAGCATTCCTGCACCAGAGGAAAGGATTTTTTTTTAACTCAGCAGGAAGCACCTTTTACATAATGAGCGGCATTCTTGGCTTTAATCATTTTTCCCATTAGTATTTCAAATGACCTTTGGCATTCTCATATCCGCAGAGTAGAGTGGCATTGTGCTGAACACATATTATCATTTTTATTGGCATCAGCTCAGATGCTACATGATCTACTGCCAGAAAACACGAGTCACCCTTGGTGGCCTTGAAGAGGACAGCCCCCTTGAGAGCATTTTGCTGGACCCTTTCCTCAGAAGAAGAGTTACCAGTTACATTCAAGACAGCAGTGTTTGTCTAGCTGTGTGCCCTGTGCAGGAGAACATTTTGAGTCTCAGACCCATAGGAGTTTTTCATATATGGCCACCCTATAAATCACTCAGTTATAGAAGAAAATTACTGGAGCTGTTGCCACACTACTGTAATCCCAGCACTTGGGAGACAGGCGAAAAGAGGAGAGGGAGAGAGATAAAAAGACATAGAGATATAGAAAGATAGGTAGATAGATAGATGATAGATAGATAGATAGATAGATAGATAGATAGATAGATAGATAGATAGATAGATAGATGGATGGATGGATAGATAGATATATAGATAGATAGATGGATGGATGGACAGGGGGATGTTTATGGTGAACTGTAATTTAAAAACTTAAAAAACATGATCTACAAATGTTTTAGGATCAGCCTTTGTAAAATATCCATGTATAATACAAATGGAATTTAGACTTCTGTACAAGCTTTGAGTTAGGGACCAGTTTGACTTCTCCATGCTTGATGAGATAGGTATTGTCTTCAGCAATAGGGCCTTGCCCAGAGTTTTTGGAGAGCAATCAATAGGCTTGATGATAGCCTGTGATGTTTGGAGTTCCCATGGGGCCACTTTGGCTAACGACTCAGTTCATGGCACTGGAAGTTTTTACTTGGTGGCATAAAACGTATAATTGGTGTTTGCTCTTCCCTATTATTTTGTGATTCCATTTGTATGCATTTTGAGTGTTTATGTTAGTACAATTTTTTGATTTTTAAAAATAAATTTACAGAAAAGTAAAAAAATAAAATTAAAGGTAAAAACTCTGTTGTATTCTCCCCATATTTTAGAAAAGATAGGAGCATTTTCAATAAACAATGGTTATCTCCAATGCAAGTCAAATGTGTTGTTAGTAACTAACATACAAATTAGTCAAAAACTATATTTTAGAAGTATATTCAAAATGTATAAGATTTTTATAATAATTTTAGCACAACTGATGTATAAGTTGTGGTATAGAGCAACTCATAGTTTGACAAGAAACCCAGCTGCAAGAGAAGTCTAGAGAACTTGTTAGAAAGGCAGGCTAGTGCTTCATGTCATTGGCAAGCACAGATTCGGGGACCCCTCTAGCCACCTGATTTCTGTGCAAAATCTGCATCTGCTGTCAAGTCCACAAGAACAGAAGGCAGGAGTTCTGGGTGGGACTTCAAGCCAATAGAATTACATTAGATATAAGCTGGTAAACATGTCAGGCTGTTGGCATAGGTGTGAATGATGAATTGCTTCTTAATTTTTATATTGTAAATAACTTTAAAATAAATAAATAACTTTATCTGTTTTCTAGAGTCAGGAAATGATCTAATTGTTTCACAGCTTTTTATGAGTTTGTGTGATTTACGAGTTCGTATTGTTTCAGTTGTCAATTGGCTGACACCAATCCCAGTGATGGAGAATGGTGTGTGAACATTCCCTTATAACACTAGTTCATGCTGTCCCTGCAATGTATTTATTATAATAAGGGAAATAGCATAGACCCTTAAGGAAAGCCAGTGAATGGAAGTTATAAACAGGATGTTCTAGAGTTGAAGATCTTAAGTGTAAAAGTTGCTGACGGGTTGCTTATTTTGGAGCGCAAAAGTGTGTACTTATGACTAATGCACGCGATTTGTTCATGTCTTTCAAAAGGATGTTGGATCTCAAAGAAAAATCCTAGTGAGTTATGTGATGGCATGTAGCATTGGAAACATTACTATCCAGAATCTGAAAGATCCAGTTCAAATCAAAATCAAACACACCAGAACTCAGGTAAGAAGATGCCACAGATAGTAGTAGTTGGAGAGTGCACACTGTCTTAGAGAATTGTACAAAATGAAGAGCAACCAACACACTTTATGAGGGGGCAACATCTATCCTCTAGAAGGGAGATGTACTGATCAGGCTAGGGACAGTACTCAGTATTCAATCAATATCATGATTGACAGCAGCAACCAGTGGGTTGGCCTTACCTGGTACCCAAGAATCAGAAGAGAATGGAAGTGACCAACAGGGATACTGCTCTTAAGATGGGGCTTGATCATCTGCATCAGGGATGCAGGCACAATTTTTGATCAGGAATTGTGATTGTCTCTTTGTGATTTTAAAGTCAAAGATAACAAGCTAGGAAAGCTCACAGGGCAACAATGCACAGACTTGTTCTTTGGGAGATGTGCAGTGGCTTAAGATTTGCCAAGTGTTAGCGCTCTTACCTTAGGGCCCTCTCTACCATCCACTTATGTGCTGCAAGGAGTAGGGAGTTCTTACTGTCCCCTGAAGCTCACAAACAAGCTTTCCCACTTCTGTAGACCATCCAGGTGATGGTTTCTTAATAGTCAGGCAGGAAGTGAGCAGGCTGATAAGGGCTGAGGACTGAAGTTGAAACATTAAAGATTCACCACAATCATGATGAACCTTCAGAGACCTCCTTGCTCATCTTTGGCTGAAAAGGAGGACTTTGGTTTATGACTCCTGGTGAACACAATTAGTAGAACTTACCATTTTTGAAATTGAAATGTAGTTCACTTGTATTTTTGTCAACAGATACACCATCCATCTCTACTAGTTATTTTAATCTTTCCCAATTGAAACTCTGTCCCAATTAATATCAATTCCCTGTTCTTACCTTCCAGAAACCTCTGGCAACCTCTTTTCATACCAGTCTCCTGCAGTACAAATTTTATTCTAACAGGGAACCGGACAGTAATTGTCCTTCAGAAGTGACTTACATTCTTTAGCATAAAGCCCCCAGAATCCATCTGTGTTGTAGCAAATGCCTAGCATGCCTGACTTAAAGACTGGTTGATATTCCATGATGGGAATGTAACAGATTTTCTTTATTCATCTATCAATGCTCATTTGGGTTGTTTCTATTTTATGACTATTTTTTGTAAATTATTTAATCTGGCTTTGGCCATACAACTGTGTCTGGAAGCCCTGATTTCAGGCACACAGGAAAGTTTTGAAGATGTTATGAATGTTAAGTTATAAAAATCTTTCCTAGGCAGGAAGACTGATAGGAGATTTAGTGTTTTGAGTGGAACAGAGAGTGAGTGCCCTGCAGAAAAGTGAGTGTAAGTCTTCCTAGGGTCCTAGTAGAGTTTCATGTGACGTCTCCAGGAGAGAAGGTCCGTTCAGGCTGCTGACCTCCTCAGGTAGTGCTGGTCATGTCTGGTTAGTCGGTAACTTTGTGAAGCCCGTGATATTCTAGTTCTCTCATTGCATTTCAGTTGTGGCTTTTCAACAGTTTAAAATACGGTTGTGCATGTTTATTCTTATGTTGACACAGGAAGTGTATCGTCCCATCTGCGCCTTCTGGGATCTGAACAAAAATAGTAAGTTGTAAAATACAGTCTGGACTTAATATAGATTAATAGAATTTCAAGTGTTGTCAAGCATTCCCAGTGCCCCCATGCCCACTTTAACCCCAAACTATAACTTATTAAGGCAACTGAGCTTCAAACTATATTTTAGATAGCTTGGGAAATCAGTTCGTGTTTTTAAAATAACTTTTGTTACTACAAAGAAAAATGTATTTGACTCAAAGTTTGAAAGAATCGACCACTTTCACTTCAGGGATATGTACGTGGTGGCATCTGTTTGTAGTAGTCACTTTCAGTTGAACACAGGCTCAAGCTCATTCCATTGTATATCCGGTGAGATGATTCATAAGGCATAAAAATGAAGAGGTGGGTGAAAGATCCTACTGAGAAAAGATAAGCATAGGAAGGATTATAAAGAACACAGCTCACTTAAGGGACAATAACCTCCAAAATTATATTGAGCAATCTAAACAAGAAAGACCACGTAAGGAATCTACAAATCACCAGGAGGAGAGTGTGGAAACAAATAAGGGGTGTGCAGAAGGAAACTTCATGTGTTCACCCCTAAGGGTCCTCTTCCCTCTGGATCCCTAATCACTGGGACTTGTTACTAAGTCCACTGGGATGCCATACCAGCTGCTTTGCCTATGAGAAATGTAGCCCAGTGGTCTCCTAAATCTCTTTTTTGTCACTTCTTATTACAGACAGATAATTTAGTTGTTGTGCTGTGGTTGTACCCTTTTTGAGATCCCGATTGACTATATACTTGCTTAAACATATTATCTCATGCCTAACCTTATATTTAAATAAATGGACAAATATTATGCCGTAAAGTAAGGTAAGGTATGTTCTAGCCACTTGCCCTTGCCTTCATAATGACGACACTGCACATATCACAGAATATTTTAAGAAAGCCGATCTCAGATATCTTCCCAAAAAGTCTGATCCCAGGGAGGAAAATGGTTTTGGTCTTCAGAGAGCTCATTAGCATATAACATTTGAAAAGGAATCTTAGTTTTTATAGATGTTGATATTAAATTTTGGTAAAAATTTAGTGTGAGCATCCCCAGAAACCCCAGGGTATTTCCATGGAACAGAGTTTGAAACTCTTGCCTGAATAATCCTGAGATGACATTCAAGGATTCCAGGAATCTAAATCACTCTACACCATGGTGGCTTCAAGAATGATGCCTGTATTAACGATCAGCTCTTTGAGGCAGAAGAATGGCTCACCCCTTACAGAGGACACTGAGCTGTTGTTTCTTCCCTCAGCAAGTTTTGGAGGCTGGAACACCTCGGGATGTGTCGCGAGCTCGGATTCAAATGCTGGCGAGACCATCTGCCTGTGTAACCACTTCACTCACTTCGGAGTCCTGATGGTGAGGGGACTTTCTCAGCTCATATTGACACATTATAATTTTAGAAGGCACACTTCTTCTGTGTAAATCTACTTTCTAAAGATTATGTATCTTGCAAATTGTTTCCCAATCATACCCATGTGTACCCTAGGTCTTGAGTCTTAAAGAAGCATCTGATCAACAGAAGTCATGGATTTATACAAGTGACAGCATCATACAAAAGATCTTTATCTTATTTTCCTTGCCGCATTAGCAGTGCTGAGAAGTAATTCCAGAACCCGAAAGAGAGAAAGGGAGAAAGTGTTGGCGACATAGAGACAAAAGGAAAGAGCGATGGGAAAAAGAAAGTGTTGGGTGTTGCTCCCATAGAGCAGAACTATGTATGAATAGTCAGATCAAGAGTATTCTTCCTTCTGTGCTATTTAATATGCTTGCTTGCCAGTTGATGTTGTGTCTTGTACCGACTGATTTCTCCCCTGAAGATGATCGTCTGTTCGGACAGCTAGTAGTTTCAGTCAGTAACTTCAGTCCTGCAAGAAAGATGATCACTTGAGGTGCTCTCTCACTTTGGGGATTTCATATAACTTTTTTTTAGTCTTCATTGCTCTTGTCCTTTAAAAAAAATCTACAGGCCAGTATACTCAACAGTTTGAACAAAAATTTAGAGCAAATTTGTTTTATCCCATTCAATTTTCACGACTCGTCTTACTGCCAAGGGTGTGTTGGAACTCACCCACGAGTCAGTACCCTCAATCTGGTATGCTTGTGTTGTGTAAGAACCTATCCATTATGCAGAACAGCTAGACTGTACCACAGTCATTGTTTTGACGAGGCTTCTATGAAGGCATCTACCACACCCGCTCTTTCATACAAGATTGGGGAAATGGGAATTGAAGTGATACAGGTTTTCCAGTTGGAATCCCAGACATGCGGTTGTATTTATCTCCTCCCTTAAGTCTTATGGCCTTCTTCCTGTGGGGTCTGGGAGGAAACAGTGAGCAACCAGGGGCTGCAGTACTTGGCTGATGAACTACTTGGCCTATGCAAATGACCATTGTCATACAAATTTACAACCCACAAGTTGTGAATTTCCTGACAACGCAGGATACAAATGCTCTGGGCATGAAGAACAAGTCATTGGCAAACGTGATGAATCACAGAATGTAACTTTTTATTGCTCTCAAAATACGTTGTTTCTTCAGGGGATTTAAAAACAACAACAACAACTGAACTATAGTGTGTTCAGAAATTCATATGTCCTCTCATCTTCTCTTTTCTTTAAAAGTGACTAGAGATGTTCTTCAGAAAATGCTTGTCTTGCATAATAATTAGTCATTCAGATAAATTAGCTTAATTAGCTTAAATATTTCAATAGCGTGCATGTACAATTTGAAAATGATTGTGAGTTTTGTTTCTAATAGATAAATAGATGTTAGTAAGAACATTGACTTCTCAAAAGTGATTTATATGCAGCCAGATTTTACCTGCACGTTACTCTGATGGCCAGTTTCACTCTGTGTTGTTTAATTTTTTGTTATGGATTTATAAATGCACATTGTGTTTTCTGTTGCTGTCTGAGTAAAAGTTGAAGTTTAACTGTGTGTGGATTTGCATTTTAGTGAATGCCTCCAGTATCCTTTTTGGCCTCTTTTGTAAGATTATAAACTGTTGGAAGAAACACTTTCATCCTTTCTGGCAATGTGTCTGCATCCCTTTGGCTCTTCCAAACCACCAACACTTGAGTCATAGCTTTTTCTTGTAGATTTACAAACTCTTTGTTCACTTGTAGAAGATAGTCTATATCTTCCCATGACACCTAAACTTACAATTAGATCTTTTAATCTATATATGTGAAAAATGTTTAATGTCCTTTCCTACATTTCTCCATAATAAAAGTGACTTTCCTATTATTTTGCATTCTTTCATCTTCACGATGACTGACTTAGAAGCATAAAATTGTCATGTGATCATGTGAGCGCCACAGGATATAAGAATTGAGTGAGACTTGCTATCAGTGTATAAAATTACTTCATTTTTTTTCTTAAATTCTTTACTTAGTCACCATCCATTTGTCTTACCTAGGTGGAAACAGTACTTTGAAGAGTTCATCACCCTTAAGTGATCCTTCAGAGCCCCTAATTTCTCTACTCTAGCTGATGCGGCAGTGAGTGTACCAGATAGGACTGGGGTCTAGTGGCACTGACTCAAACTCTGTCCTATATGCCATGGGTACATGTCTTGTATTTTGAGGGGCTCCTGGGCTTTTCAGAAAGGGGGAGGCTTTTCCTGGCCCAGAGCCCCCAACTCTGCTGGGTTTTGCCACTGTGCATTTGCCAATGTCTCAAGCTACTGTACATGCTTACTGCCTTAGCTGTATCTAGAACTGACTCCTGTTTGTTCATTTTGCATATTTGCACATGCATGTGCATACACACAAAGAGAGAGAGAGAGAGAGAGAGAGAGAGAGAGAGAGAGAGAGAGAGAGACTGCTTCTGTAGTTATGTGGGAGAGTAGCAGTTTTCATGACATTTAATAAAAAAAATAAAAGAAGTTGACATATAGAGAGAAAACCTTATTTTTGCCATAAGATCAAAATATTACAACTGTATGTTCAGCAAATCTCTTCCTTCATTCTTAAACACCTGTACGACAGAAGTGAATTTCATCCTGCACCAGGACAGGTTAGTGGTGTTGCTTCAGGTTTTTTGGTTTTTTGTTTTGTTTTGTTTTGTTTTGTTTTTCCAACCTAATCCTCCAGTTAGGAGGTGAAAGAAGGTTTTCCTGTGAGGTCAGAGTTTTCAAGTTCACTACAACATATGGACTTAATGCTTCATGTTTGTCCATGTCATCATCTTCCCCTTTTACCCAACTCCCGACATTCCAAATTAAATCCTTCTAGAACTATAAAGACTGAAGATGCTTCACTCTTAAAAATGACTTTGCAGATCAACCCAGCCCCCTACATGTCAGGCTTTGAAATGGCCATAGAAACCTCAAGACTACCTATAGCAGTCTCTGGCTGTTCCTGGCTGGGCATCTCTCACCTAGCAAACAATCTAGGGCCCTAGGAGTTGTTGATGTTTGCATAGTGGCTTCCATTTATACTCATGCCTGTATCCTTGCAGAACCAGGTGTGATTGTTAACTTATCATACAAGACAATTGTACCCTCCACCATTTCTGTTGGGGCCTCCGGTGATTTCACTCTTTGACTTTCATTAGGTTACCAAGAGCTTAGACAAGAATGTACTGATTTAAAACAGGGTGCACTACTTCGACAATAATGCTTCATTTTTCTTTCTGGGATTGGTCCACAAGAGTGCAGCAAATGTCTGTATCAATCAGTGTTGGCAGGCATTGCTGTTTCTAGGCCCGGAGACTGAACCGTGCAGTGTGTTAACTGTGAAGTTTCTAATGACATCAAGCATCACTGTTATGGAAGAAGAATTAGACTTACAGCTGCATCCCCTGTTTTGTTAGGATCTCCCAAGGAGTGCCTCTCAAATAGATGGAAGAAACACAAAGGTCCTCACTTTCATCACCTACATTGGGTGTGGAATATCGGCTATTTTCTCAGCAGCAACTCTCCTGACGTATGTTGCTTTTGAGTAAGTATATTTCCATCTGCCATGCTCAGTGCTAACAATTGCAAATGCAAGCCTGAAAAATTGCCTCAGCTTTGAAAAGAACTCTACAGTTTATAATGAATCGTGTTGGTGTCTCACTTTGAATCCTCATGTTTCCCATAAGATCATACACCAAGAATTTTCCAGGTATAGAATTTTATTTTATAACTACTGTATCTCTATTTTATAAAAATGGATCCAAGTCTCTTCAAGATTGTTAATGCTTAGGTAAATTAAAATGACATGAAATACTTGCTACATTGTAAAAGGTAAAGATATTTGCTTCATGAATTGTATAAAAGCATTCTTGAAAGAGGAATTTTTTTGAAAGGGATCTCTGACTCATTAAAAACCAAGAAACGTTAAACAATTCTAGGGAAATTACATTTTAAATAAAAACGTCGAGTTAGAGGAATGGCTCAGCAATTTAGATCGCTGGCTCCTATGGTAGAAGGCCCAGAGTTCAGATTCTGCCACTTTCCTCAGGCTGCTCATGGCCATCTGAAACTATAGTTCCAGGGACTTTAATGCACTTGTCTGGATTTTGCGGTCATTCCCATGAAGATGCACATACACACACTGACATACACACATGAACAAACACATAAATTAGTTGATTCAATATGTACTTCTTGTCACTCTGGAAAAATTCCTAAGCTAAAAAAAAGTTGTGAGTGTGGTAGCTCATGACTTTAATACCAGCACTCAAAAGGCTCAGACAGAGGGGTTTCCATGAGGTAGAGGATAGCCTGGGCTACATGGTGAATTGCAAGGCATCTTGGGCTGCAGTAGAAGACCCTGTCTCAAAAACAAATGAACTCTGTAGAAACAAGTTGAGAATTTTGAAAACAGTTTTGAAAGGAAAATCACAGTCTTTGTAGCCTGGCAAATACTCATAAAATCTTCACTCCTCCACATGGTGGGTCCATGTCTTGTGCATGGACTTACCAATACTGGGAATGGTAGGAAACAGGAATAGCCTCCTGTTTTTAAACACTGGTGTTCAGTGTTGCTCCTTGTATACTGTTCTCTTCTCCACCCTTAGGAAACTACGCAGGGATTATCCCTCCAAAATCCTGATGAACCTGAGTTCGGCCCTGCTCTTCCTGAATCTCATCTTCCTCCTGGATGGCTGGATCACTTCCTTCGATGTGGCTGGCCTCTGTACAGCTGTGGCTGCCCTGCTGCACTTCTTCCTCCTGGCCACCTTCACCTGGATGGGGCTAGAAGCCATCCACATGTACATTGCTCTTGTGAAAGTGTTTAACACTTACATCCACCGGTATATCCTAAAATTCTGCATCATTGGCTGGGGTAAGCCTCCCTCAGACATGGGTCCTCATGCATTGTACTATAGGACCCATAGAAAAGCAGTGATTACGAACCTGCATCAGATACAAAAAAATAAAAAAACCTGAAGAAGGGACAGAGGGACATCCTCATTACCCAACACTGCATGTTTCTGAAACCCTCACCAGTATTCACTAAATTCAGGAGTAAAAGGAAAAGCCTTGGCTCCTGGGTCACCACAAACTCATTTCCTGAGCCCAGCGCCAGCCCACCCAGGGCTAAAGAAGCAACTGACAGCCCATTATGCTTCCAAATATAGTTGCCAGCTAAACGCCTAGCCCTACTCATCCCTGTTGTGGGAGCCAGAAAAAGAGCGTTATTTTCATGTGTACAGCCCAGACATTTAAAAAAGCACTGCCTTTAGCTTTTTTTAGCATGGATCCTTTGGTCAGATATCCAAAGGCCATCCATATTAGCCAGTTTCGGAATCATTCTGTCTCTGGGATTTTTGGCATCAAGCTAGGCACTGTAAGGCTCAATCACGTATCTTTTTCAGATAGCAATATTCAAGGCCTAGCCATTCCTTAGTTTTCCACCTCCTGCCATGAGAAAATCCAAAGGATCTCTTGGGGAATTGAGGAGGCATGAGTTGATTCAATGAAGTAAATATGGAGTAGTACTATTGATTCTCTGCAGAGAAAAGACATCATACACTTGCTGTGTACCCCCATTTTTCCTAAACTCTTTGTTTCATATATAAAAAGGATAAAAGCAGCTGCATTCAATCTTATCTTTCGTAACGCTGGTGGCCCAGTGTTTAAACAACCGTACTGGTCAGTGCTGCATCCCATAGAATCAGGGTCTCAATCTCCAGCATCACTAGACCCCAAAGAAGGCTCGGGCATCTTATCATTGAAGAGTAGGTTTTTAACTATTGCCACTTAGTGTCATATGTCGCACACTGAGGAGGGAATTTTGCCGTTGGTTTGAACCAAGCAACTTGGCCATTCTAAGAAATCTGCATCTCTCTTGTAGAGGGTTTTCTTTTTCTCACTTAACAGTTTCAGTCCCATGAGGCAGTCCCAGAGTCTTCAGGAACTCTCTCAATGCCATGGTCTTTTTATAACAGGTCTGCCAGCCTTGGTGGTGTCAATTATTCTAGCGAGCAGAAAACAAGACGAAGTGTATGGGAAAGAAAGTTATGGCAAAGAGGAGGAGGATGAATTGTGAGTAAAACCTGTTTGCGGGGAGACTGTGCTGGGATAGGCACTTTGTTTCCTGAGGTTTAATATAAGGTAGCATGGTGGCAATAATGCTACAGCAGTGACAGTAATGCCCCAATTATGAAGGCTCTAGTTCACCTGTGAGATTCTGTCAAAAGTCCTTCTACCACAGATTAGCATTTCCGTGCACAGAGCTGCTTCTTCATTTTAATAACACCGTGCTACATGGTCTGGAGAGTGCAGACACCTGAGAAACTCTCTTCTTAACTCATTCAGTTAAGGGGATTCTGTATTATCTCAACCCAGACATATCGACAGTAGAAGAAGTGACCCAATGCCAATATGAGCGTTTTACAGAAAACAGGGAGATCCTGAGTTCCTGGGAAAATTTTTCCTTTACAAGTGGAGGTGATTGAGATTAAGGTCATTATATTGCTTAAGCAATTAATTCTCAAGTGCCTCTCATTAAGACACTTAATGTGGACCATCAACATTGACTGATTTGAAGAATTACTGATTGCTTAATGAACATTTTTTATTATGTGAGACCCCCAATACATCATGTCTGTGTGAACTTCAGGGATAGCTAATGCTTCTATACCTAACCAGTTCTCTTCCCTCATGGCCTCCCCTTTGTTTTTCTGAGTCAACACAATGGAACCCTAACAAGTTGGACCTGTAACAAGAATCCCAGGATCTTTGTGACACTTCCATGTTTAAAGAAATCCTAGTGCCACGGACATGCAGTGTTATTTAGGGGACCCTTATAAAAAACACTAAATTTTAAACTAAATCAGCTTTAAATGACTGACTGGAAAATCTATCGTCCTTGGGTGTCATAGGATTTTGAGGCTCTATTTAAAGTTGTGCCATCACAAAATCTCATTTAGTAAACATTGATTGTATGCTAGAAATCATGTTGAGCTGTAAGGTCTGAAAATGTTCCAGAAAGCATTCACTTCAGTAGCCAGAATGTGGATAATACATTTTAAGATAAATTTAATTTCCTGAAATCATTGAATTCTTAGATTCTTAAAATTTCCCATAATTTAAAGAAACACTAGAACATCTGTAAACTGTATCGCTTCTCAACTTTACCTTAGTTAGACTTCGCATCACCGAGTAGTTAGAATTTTTCTCCCATCTATTATCAGGTATATTTCTGAAAATCAATATATCCTTTTAATGAAGAGGTGTTATAATCTACATATGTCTTACAGTTATGTGCAAGAAATATCTCTACATGAATCTTTTAATTCCATAATATTTGCTGCAACTAGAACAGTAATATAAATAATAATCGCTTTGTATCCCGAATTCTCAATTCGGTGTGACAAAGAAGTATAAATTTGCTAATCATAGATGACAAGGAACTAGGAATATAGGCGACTACTAGCATTGATGTTGTGGCTAAAACCCACCAGGGCCAACTTCTTAGCAACTCTCCTGGCTTCTTTCACATCGACATAAGTAGACAGCTGTACTACCATGGCTCTCACAAAAATCTCTTAGCAGACCTCTGCTTCCATGTTATTTTTTTTTAGGATGGTGTCAGCACAGTCACCCCTTGACAGGAAAGGACAGCAAAACTGAGTGCTGAAAATCCCCATTGTTAGACACTGGACACACAAGAGAAAGAGGGTCATTGTGGTTAGGACCAGCCAAACAAACATACACTCATACCAATCAGAATTCAACAAGAAACCTCATTTGCTTTTTAATGTTGACTTAAATAAGGAGATTAAGACAGCAGTGATCCAAAACTACCTGAACAAAAAACCACCTTTGAAAGGATCAAAGCAGAAACTGGAGTCCACGGAAGTGAGCGGACTTTTCAGAGGTGTTTCAGAAAGAACTCTGCAAGCTGTGTAAACCAGGTCGAGGAAAGTCACTAGTAAACAGGGCGTGGTGGCCAAACTCTTTTATCATGTTATTGTTTCTTTTCCTTTAAGTTGCTGGATTCAGGATCCTGTGGTATTTTATGTGAGCTGTGCCGGCTACTTCGGAATCATGTTCTTCCTGAACGTTGCCATGTTCATTGTGGTCATGGTACAGATCTGTGGGAGGAACGGAAAGAGAAGCAACCGGACCCTGAGAGAAGAGGTTTTAAGGAACCTGCGTAGTGTGGTCAGCCTGACCTTCCTGCTGGGCATGACGTGGGGTTTTGCTTTCTTTGCCTGGGGACCCTTAAATATCCCTTTCATGTACCTCTTCTCCATCTTCAATTCTTTACAAGGTAAGATGAATGGTACCCGAGCAGTGGCTGCTTTCTTATTTTATCATATTTGCGGACAGTTTCCCTTTTGACAGACCAGGTCAATTTTCTATTACTATTGTAGATGTCGAGCACAGTTTCAGGCACAAATGAACATTCCGTTCAAAAGCTTTGAATATTCCAGGTAATCTACAGTGCCTGGTAGATAAACATAGCATCATGCAAAGGAGTATGGAACAGCATGAAGTGTTAGCTGAGGACCTAACCAGAGGTTTAAGGGCTCACAGTCAACTTTTGTCTCCTTTCTAGTTCAGGCTGCTAATGCTGCTGTTGCCTTCGTGCAAACTGTGTGGGTTTTCCATTCATGGTACAGCAGTTCACCTCACCCCCTAAGGTCCCCAGGTTTAAAAATGAAATCCAACTCTAATTCAGAAACTTGTCTTTTTATGAGATACAGAAATTAATTCAACCTATCAAACATACAAATGTTCTGCTTTAGAGAACATACATATATACATACACACACCAATGAGAGAAAGAGAAAGAGAGTGACAGAGAGAAATGGTCTCAGTATGTAGTCATAGCTAGTCTAGAACTTGACATATAGACCAGTGGCCTCTAGCTCACAGAGATCCACCTGCCTCTGCCTACTGTATCTCCATACCTGGCCATGCAATTGTAGTTTTGATTCCATGACACACTGTCTGGTCTCCTCTAAATGGACTTCTGTCAGTTTTTCAGTTACAACTTGAAAATTTTAATAGCTTTCCTTCCTTTGTGGTGCTGAAGATTAAGCCTAGGGCTTCACACATGTCCACCTCTGAACTACTTTTTGAGTCTTTCGATAAAATTCTTGAAGATACCAGACAGTCTCCATTCTTATGACAAAACTCTTTTGCGTATTGAAGCACCATGAGGACAACACATCATAAGAATTTAAACAGCACAGTCCGATATGTCCACCCCGTGTGTGTGTGTGTGTGTGTGTGTGTGTGTGTGTGTTTCACTGTGCAGTCCCAGCTGGCCTCAAACTCAAAGTCCTACTTCAGCCACCTGAGTGCTAGGATTATAGGCCTCTCCAGCATCCCTACCTTCAGAGCCTGGGCTATTTTCAGCGAGAGCACTATCAGTTTTGGTGAAGCTACTCCACTGCTCCTACAGCTATGGATATGTGGAAGAACATCTAAATAAGTCCCAAAGAATCTGATCTGGTGTAGAAAGCAGTGTTGTACTCCTCAAAATTCCATCACCTTATTGGGTATTCCCTCTTGCCGTATCTAAGATGTCTGCGCTTATCTGAAGGAAACTGTGACTCACTGCCCGGAAACTTCTGCTGGTTTTTGAACTGAAACAATTGTCACAAAGTAGATGCTTAGCGACTGTTAAATAAATTGATTGCTGGATGAGGGAAAGGAGAGGATCTTCTCCTAGGCATGGCCTCGATCCAATCTGAGATGCCTCTGGCATAAATACTCATTAATTAATTCAGCAAAGACATTCAGGCTCATAACAGGCAAACTATGCAGGCTTGTTATCATGAATTTGTAGAATAATAAGTCTCAAGAGTATATCCTTAAGTTGGAAGCTAAATTCATAGTGTATGAATATGTCTAAACAGCAACCCAGCTCAGCAAAGGCAATATTTCTCCATTTATTCTCTTTTATGATACACTACATAAAAGTGCCCAAGAAAATATTGACAGGAGTGTCCAGTCGCATTAGGATTCCATGGTTTTATATTTCAGGACTGTACATGAAAGGCACAGTCATCTGCCAGCCCAACTTGGTTCGCCGTTAGAATTTCCTGGCGTAAACTTCAACAGCTCCAGCTGTCAGTACAGGCCATTTCTATTCATGAGAATTGGGATACTTTGATTTTCCTAGCACGGGTCTCCTGATGAGAGGGGAAAATGTCAGCCATCATCAAGTCAGTGTTCTTCATAAATCAGTGACTTTAAGACTGATTTTTAAATCATACACATTGAGAACAACTTTATCCATGTCCGAGGATATTGAAAACATCCCCTAAACAAGATTTAAATGCAGAGACCTTCATACTGAAGCCATGACTGTATGGACAATTATTTCACCAGCCAGGTCAAATGAAAACTTCCTGGAACAGTATATACATTTTTAATGGCTTTTATTGGTGAGCTAGTTTTTACCTTTGACATGAGGCTTTTTTTGTAAGAACTTTATGCTTTATTTGAAGCATGTAGAGTCTTGTGGGGTGGTAATCCCAGAGTTTAGGAGGCAGGAATAGAAAGATACTGACTTCTAGGTCATTCTGAGTTATATAAAGAGGCTCTATTTTTAAAGGGGCCATGGAGTAAGATTCATAAGGCAACGAAACTGAGAAAATTCTCTTTTTTTCTGAAATGAAGAACATAAGAAAGAAAGGATGATTTGATTAAACTACTTTCTAAATTCTGTATGATCCTATCCCCTTTTATACTTCTCCAACATATGGAGAATTTTGACTTTCCTAACAAGTTCAACAAGTTAAAAAGTTTCATGCCTGAAACTTGATCCTCCATTTTCTATTTCCAGAAATAGACACCAGTATCCATTAGCAGTCAAGTACAACCAGGCCCTCTCATGTACCCAAATGTGAGAACATAATTCATGCATTCCATAGTCTGCAATCAGAAGGTGCTATGGAGAACACACACAAATAAAGGAGTATCGGTCTGCTCACAGACGTCTGCCACTACTCACATTGTACCCATTAAGATGCCTGGAGCAACAGAAATCATGTGCATTTTTGTAGTGCATGAGAGTTAATGAAATACTTCCATCTAACATGTGTGCTTTTACTATCAGGCTCAAAAGTCTGAAAAGCAGGAACTTCAGAAAAAGGATATAGTTTCGTCTCTTAATGGGTAGACTTATAGTAAGAAAGACAATGACTTTCCCAAGATCAGTTGGGATCTGACGATGAAATATTAATAATATATATATGGCAATTAAAGAGTACATTAATAGGTGGCAGAATATAAAAGGTATAGTTTTTCAATAGAAAAAAGAACTAAAGCAAATTCCTTAACTACCCCTCAGTTCATGTCAGTCTCTTCATTTAGAAAGTGAATATCTACCTCCATTTATTAAAAAAGCTAGCAAATACACTTTTAATAACTTAATGGGAATTTAATTTGTTATTCAACAAGGACTGTCATTGGTTTCGATCCCACGGGCAGGCTGAGACATTAAGTTAGGTTTTGAGATGTAGTAAATTAATTGCCAGCCGAATTTCCCTTGCCCGGTTGGAGCCTCCTGCAAGTTTTAAGCTGTGACACAGCAACACACACACAATGCGCATGTGTAATTGCTGCCAAGGTAAAGATGGCCCGCCTTTCAACTCCAGACACCCGAACCGACACCGAGTGGGATGCAATGTGACACACTGCAGGGAAATATATTGCTCATCCTTTGACCAGGCATTGCGTGCCACAGAGAAATAATTTTGTAAAGGGAGTCTTTGTAGTATGAAAGGACAAGCCAAAACGCATTTCCCAAAACCAGCCAGAAACCCAACTTAACAATAGCTGGCTTTGTCTGAGTGGCAAGCACACCTGGGAGGTGGTCAGTCTTGTGTTTAGAGTCCCTCCAGAGCTTAGAAGCCATCCAGGCTGTTTCACCAAGGGTCAAGAATGTAGCGCACACTGCTTCTCCCTTCCCAATAGCTGACTTGATGAATGATTGACTGATGTTTCTATCAAAAGTCTAAAATTTACATTCATGAGCTAAGACCCAGTCCCTCACAGCCGCTCACCCGACCCTCTCTCAAACCCCTGAAGTTGTTTATATGATGATATGTTAAAGTTTACATCTTCCCTCTGGGTTTCTATAGGTTTGTCATTCAGGTTCAGAAAAGGTGAATTCGGGCTTTTTCTTTTTTGGTCCAAATTTATTGTTTACTTTCTTGTAAAGTTTTTTTGTTCTGTTTTTTTTTTTTTTTTGTTGTTGTTGTTGTTTTGTTTTGTTTTTGCCTCTAGATACTAAAGTGCTCTCAGAGATGAGCAGTCAAAGCTATCATCTCCCCACCATCTGGACTTGCATGAGGCCTTTTGGAACAGTGACAGGTGGCCACTTAACTGACTTCGACTTTACCCCCTTATATCTAGGGAAACTCTTTCTGGCATTTCTTTTTAAGTTTTTTCGATAATTGGACTCAACATCAGAAATATCTACTCATGTTACATGGACTCCTGAAAGCCGTGTTTCTGCCTGCGTCAAGCAAAGGGAATGAATTCTACATGGGAGTCAAATTTCTAACGAAAATATATTTTCCCCCAAAATAGATAAATAGCTCCATAAGGATCAAGATTAAAGGCAAGCCATTTAATCCACAATGAATATGATGCCAGAATTTAAAAGCCGGGTTTTATTTCTTTTCTAAGGGGCTAAGATTCTGGATTCGATGACAGGATTAGGAACAAGAGACAAAACCTACTCCTTTAGAAGATGTTTTTAGACTGTTTCCTTTTTCCAGAATCAGAGTGCTCACCATCTTCCTGCTCTGTTTGCATAGCTAGCCCAGCTTCTAAAAGGTCGTGATATGGTAGAGTCTGTTACACTCTCTACCTTCAGAATCCCCATAGAGAACCCTGTTTCCCCACATGCATTGCAGTATTTGTCCTTATTCAGCCAAGATGGAAATATTATTAATTTAAAATGGAAAAACATTGCCCTGTTTCCTAGGAATTAAGAAATTTTGAGTTCTCACATCATAGTGGTGTGTTGGTGTGAAGTGAGTATCTCGTGGTAGATGGATGCTAAAATGGATGCTAATGAAGGCGTGGAATGACGGAGAGGGAAAGGAGAGGCTTCAAATCTGTTGTGTTCATCTAGCGTGGAGTGGTTTCAAGTAGGCGAATTAGATAAGCCAGGTAGTTTCCAAGGTGAAGCAACTGTTGCTAAGGAACCCTGGCTTGGATTCCTTTGAGTGGTAGTCTCTCAGGCTAGGTTTAAATTCACCCAAAAGGACAATGGGCACCTGTAGGCTCCTGTTTTTTGTTTGTTTGTTTGTTTTTTATTATGTTGTTTGGTTGGTTTATTGTTTGTTTGTTTGTTTTATAACAGAAAGGACTCATGAACTTAGCACTTACTAATCAAAATGAAGCAAAAGCTTTAATTTTTTTTTACTATAAATTTTTTTTATTGAGAATAAGAAAAAAAAAAGTTTCCGCCTCCTCCCAGCCTCCCATTT